ACAAACGGGTTTGAGTAGCATTAGAGTAGAGTAATATTTGTGTGCAGATACTTCCTATATGTACGACCCTGATTTCAGCTAGACACATCAGTGGATATCTATAATTATCAGGATAAACGTCAAATCCTTCTTATGTTGAAATTTAAAGGCTGATTTCTGCTCCTGAGTGAAAGTTGAAGACGCTGGAGGGCTAATTGTGGTGTAATTATTCTTCAGTCTCAGAACAGGACAAACTAGACTTCAACAGAGGAACGCTTCACAAGAACAGACTTGTGACTTCTGCTCATCTACGTCTTTCCCAATTTAGCTGTGTTTGGGGTGTTTCCTGGCATCCTGGACCAACAACAGCATGATTGTGATGTTAAGCATGGGAGGAGGAGCCGACTTTGAATGTTAGGATTCCAGACAGGTTGAACAAATATTCTACTCATTCTCTGAGGGGTGTAACGGTTCAGTTCACAGAGGTCACGGTTCGGTTCATACCTTGGTTTTGGGGTCACAGTTTGGTACGCTCACAGGATGAGACATTATAACGGAGCTTGAACACTTTTAATACACCCTAAAAACTGGGGTCGTCTACTGCTGCATGTGTGTGCATGTAGCCTTAAAGTCCACATCCAGAGGCTTTGTAAAAACAGGAGGCATACGTTGTTGGACACTTGGTTTCGTTTGCCCAGCTGCGGTGATTGGCACCTCGGGGTGATGCCGTCCAATATCTGTTAGCGTGTTGACGTGTCTCCAAAGACCTACTGCACTGAGAAGCCAAAACTCCAAACACAGCTGATTTAAAGAAGCACCATGTCACCTTATTATCGTTTATTACTCCTCTTCTTTGCTTGTTGTTGAATATCTGTTGGCAATCAGTTAAGAGCATTACCGCTACCTGGATTGTGTGAATACTGTCATGTGTGACTTCCTTTTGTTTCCCCTCCACATTGAGAAATGTACCATGACCTCTGACTCGTGATGGTCTGCTACCTTTACACTCCTACATTCTACCTTTGCCTCGTAACTCTCGGGAATAAGTTTAAAGCTTGTCGAGTGTGCGTCCGTCCAAATTGCTGCCATGGCGGTGGATCCAGTCGTGGTTAACTCGGGGCCCCCTTCTTCCCTCCTGGCTGTCAGTCTTGGATTCTCACTGTAGCATCTGTGCTGGCTCTCTTCCTAGATGTGGCCAATGAGAGGAGTCCTCTCCAAACCATCACAACACACAATATTAACTTTCTGTGTCTGTCTGGCAACCAAACTCGTTTACGTCTTCTACACACACACACACACACACACACACGCACACACACGCACACACAAAGCTGTTTTTAGTTCCCCTGCCAAAGAGCTTTAGTTCTGTTTGTTTGACTGTGTGTTCATTAGTTAGCAGAATATCTCAAATCTTGACAGCAGATTGCGGTGAATTGGGGGAAAGTTGCAGCATGGGACGAGCAACAAGTGACAAGTTTTTTTTGGTTCAGCTTTTTCAAGGAATGCTTTTTAACTGAAAAGTCGGCCAATGTGAGCTTTTTAAAAAAACATTTATCCAACCTTGCACCTTTATCCAAGTATTTTCCTGAAGGACGTTGATCTTTTTATTTGTATTCATGCTCTTGTGGTGGCTTTAGGAATGCCAATATCAGACGATTGTTGCGGCATCCACAACTTAACTCTTGATTGACAGGAGGTTATGATAGATATTTGCAGTCTCAAGCAACTTGAACCTGTTGGCTTGGACAATGTTTCGAGGTTTCCTCCATTGACGTTGCGTACACGTTCAAGGCAAAGTTTATTCATGTAGCACCTTTCAGACACCGGGCGATTCAAAATGCTTCACACAGGCACAGAGAGCTTCAGAATCAGACTCAGCTTTATTGGTCAGGTATGCTTACACACACAAGGAATTTAACTTTGGTGAACTGTGCTCCCTTATGTAACCTTTGCTGCTTTGCTAAAGTGCTCATGATGGATAGACCGGATCTTTGTAATATAGCAATAAGTAAGGTCTTTTACCTGCTCTTTGTAAAGTGTCTCGAGATAACACTTGTTATGAGTTGACGCTATACAAATAAAAATTGATTGATTGATTGATTATGTACAAGTGTAACATTAAATATCAACAATTAACAGGAATAAGCAAAGACTGGTATGTACAAGACTAAATAAGAAACAGTGCAGTGGTGAGTAGTGCAACATTTGATAAAAAAATAACATGTTTTTGTGCATTTAAGAAATACTGTACACTATTTCTGAAAAGTGCATCCACCTTTTACACAAACTCGACGTGTGTTCATGATCCAGTGTGCAAGTACATGAACACACAAGCATGAAAAAATAAACGTGTGCACATGCAGACATGAAAACACAAACACAAACTAAAGCGGTGAACATGACGACCGATACACTTCCTGAACATCTCTATTATCACACGCTGTCATTTCAAGCTTCAAAGTAAACTGAAGGCTCGGCACACTTGATAAAGCTTTAGAAAGCAGCCATCGTGCTATAACTCTCTGTCCTATGAAGTTTGAATGAAGAATGGCGGGCTCAATTACGATGTTGGCTAAGATGATCGAGCTAAAACGATGACCGTGCAGCATGTGGTGTTGCTTTCATTTGCCCAGAGGTTTTGTCATCATGTGTTCCTAAATGTTCAAAGTGTGCTGCTCTAACTCTTCATAGTTTCTATTCTTAGTTATTTATATTCCAATGAGACAAAGTCTGCCCTGCTGCAGTGCTTTAAACAGCTTCTGTCTTGTCTTTGCATTTGACTTGGACAAACAACACTTCTCCTCTCCACCCATAATGCACACACACTCACACTCACACATTATCCTGGTACTAAGCCGTAACATGAACCTCATTCAGGAGGAGCCCGCTCTTGTTCTGCACTCATTGTTGGGCGAACATATGTTTGTACTGCTGCTCGTGACTTCCTGCTCACCCCACACTCGGCTCCAGCAGTGTGTTCTCTGCTGCTGCTCCAGATAGCTTTGGACGTGTGCGCTCACCCGGAGTCACACAGTAACACCGGTTAAACAGTCGTAGAATACAGTACAAAAAAACCCCAGTTCTAAACAGATGAAGTAAAGCACATGTTGAAGAAGTAGGGGCTGCGCTAGTAATACAGACACAGAAACAAATCGTTTTTTTGTGTATCAAAGATGTAATCATTTTCAAATCAGCAAACCTGCAGAGTGATGACTGCCATCATTGTTATTAGTCCTTTGTAAGTGCCACCCTGTCTTACCTTATCTCAGCTTCAGTAGATCCCTGTCTTATGAACTGGAGACATACACCATGATAACATCGTAAACTTGCTGGATGTTCAAAGTTCTTGATCCGGGAAAGATGCTATCTGAGTTTGTTTATGCAATCTGGGCTTTATTTTTTGCCCATTGCACCAAAGTAGCTGTTTGTTGTTTGAGCGACAGGAAGTGTTGTGAGGAGAGAGAGAGAGAGTGGGGGGGGGGGAACCTGCAAAACAGTTGACTAACGAGAGAAAAAGTAAAACGTCCTGGAAAATTATAACACTCTCCTACAGGGTTGGACATTTTCACCGCCAGACGTCAATAAAAGTTTCTATTTGTTACATCAATCCACAACGCAGATTGAATGGAAGTCTATAGAAAATGTAATGGCTCCGCCTCCCCATCGTGTCAAAAGCAAATGTTTATTTACAATTTAGTTGAGAGGATGGAGGTAGAATTGTGTTTCCTCCTTGGTTTGAGGTCAGCACATTAACAGTAGTTAGTTAAACGTTATTAATGACGTGCTAACTTGCACTGACTCTCTCTCTCTAATCGGTCTTTCTTGCTGGCTGCTGTCTCTGCTTTGAGAAAAAGGGCGCAAAGTGTTTGATAAATATGGAATGATTCCCCGATTCCTGCTGAAATCTAACCTAGCGTTAGGTGTCTCACTTTTTTTGCTTGTAGTCTCCAGAGAACAGGGAGCGCCGTCTCCTTTATTTACAGATTCTTAGCGAAGGAGTGGAGGAAGCATTAAAGTTGTATTATCTGTGGACAGCCAATAGGAAGCGACATTTTACAGCATCGTCCTTGTAAAAATCTCTTTCTTTACTAGAGAATAAAAGATAGTAATGTTTAGTTTTGCACTCTTGGTGTGTGTGTGTGTGTGTGTGTGTGTGTGTGTGTGTGTGTGTGAGACATGCGTTCAAGGACTCCTCTGCCTTGTGAGTTCTTGTGCTTAGTCGACCTGCAACGCTTGATACTACAGTATAAGCTGCTGTGGGTAACAGTGCTTACAATCCCTCTGTGTGCCCGTGACCAAGAACCTAGAAAAAAAAGATCGTGTCACAACCACCACCCCCGGCTTTCAACGCCGTCTCTCTCTCTCTCTCTCTCTCGCTCTCTCTCTTCATCTCCCTCTGAATTTCTTCTGTTGAAGAGGCCTCGTTTGATGTCTCAGACTTTGTGCTGGCGTCAGGCGCGAGAACAGTCCAAAAATGGATCTCATTTGCATTCTTGGTGTGATTATGACACTGGACAATTAGACACAACACGCTCCATCTTCTCAGCGAGAAAGTCCGTCTTGTTTTCTGCTTTGCGAGTGAATTAAAGGCCCCGAAACGAAGAAAAACATGCTTTTATTTCGACATTTCAGAGGTTGGTTGAGGTTTGGATTGCCCTTGCCTGCCACCTGATTACCCATAATGCTTGTGTACTCATGCTTTAGCTTCATATGACCCCCCCAAGGCGAGTACAAAGCTCCCCTTTAAGAAGATGTTGTTCATTTTTTTTTTATCAGTGTTGTGCCTCAAGTTCATGAGCTCTCTGTCTTCCTCCCTCCCTCTCTTTCCTGTCCCTGTCACTCCTCTCTCTCTTTTTTTCTCCGTCCTCTCCTCCATCTCTCTCTCTCCCCCCTGTGCGTCTGTGCGTGTTTGTGTGTTCTCTGCGTGTGTCCGTGCTGTCCTCCTTTTTTCTCTATACGTGTGTGTGTGTGTGTGTGTGTGTGTGTGTGTGTGTGTGTGTGTGTGCGCTTTCTGCTCCCAGCCCCTCTGCGGAAAGCAAAGTTTGTGGAGAGCCCTCGCATTCCACAATCAGAGCTTGGCTCCCCTACACACACCTCCACCACTGCCAAGAATCCAGACCTGGACACATACTGCCCGGGTAAGTTGTTTTAGCCAGCTCATCCCGCTTTTCCTCGTTTTTTGGTTGTTTTTTTTTTGCATGTTGGTTCCCTGTCGTCAAGAGAGAGAATTCATTGCTTTTTGCAAAGTTAAAAACATGAGGATAATTATTGAAATAGCTCCCCCCCCCGCTCTCCACAGAGTCCATCCTTATCACCTCCTCCCTCTCTGCTCCTCTAATCCTCCCATGCTGCTTTGTCGCTCTGATCTGCGTCTCTCTGCGGACGCGGAGCTCGTGCAGGTCGCCGCCTCTGTTTTCTGTCATCTTCACAGTCAGGGGTTGGCTGGCTAATCCTGTGGACGCTCCCGATTTACCTTAACCCCCTCTATCTATCCCCTCTCCTCCTCCTCCTCCTCCTCCTCCTCCTCCTTGCATGCACGAACAGCAAAGCGGGTCACTCCAGGATAGTGCCCTGCTGAGATTTGGTTTCCAGTGTATCTGCTTACTCATCTCGCCTCTCCTCTTCCTGTTGCCACTGAGAGGCACAGTGTTAGCTTTCTTACAGATCCTGTTGACTCAACCTCTGGCGGTTTTGTGGAGCCTCTCGAAAGATACCGATGCTCTCCAGGGTTTGGATGAAGACATAAGAGAAATAGCGATGTGAGGTTTTAGGAGTTTAACTGTTGTACCTTAAAGGGGAAAAATGGTGGACAGAGTGATGCCAGCCTTCTCCGCCTGTCAGCCTCTCCTGCTGAGTCTCTGCTCATTGGGAGCTCTAAGTAGGTGATCCGTCTGTATGAACATACTAGAATACAGCTTCTATAGTCCTTTCTTTTCTCTGTTTAAATCTAAATAGTGTGTGGCACCTGTGTGAGTTTTTTTTGTACCTGGCTTTCTGTTGAATCTCATGCATGAAAAACTGTCAAACCCGTCTTTTTATTTTTTGCATCAATCCTGTGAGATCGACTGTGGAATAAGCAGTCAGCCGTGATGAGCTGCTAAAAGCTCCTGCAGATGTGACATGCCAGTTTTTAAATGGAAATTCTTTCTTGCGCCAATCGAGGCAGGAAAAGGGTTGGTAACACACTCGAGCTGGAGGAGGGAGGAGGAGGAGGAGGAGGACTCGAGCCTCCCAGGTGGACAGATGGACATCTTAGCTCTTTTTTTCAAGGACTCTGGGTGAGCAGCATCAGGGGGCCGTGACTTTAACATCTGATCACATGCCAGCCCGCTCTCAGCTGCTGCCGCTGACGCGCTCTGTCCCCTGGAGGAGGGCAGGTGTATCAGCTCAGTTTTACGGCCCACAAAGAATATTTGCGCTGTCATAAATATGGTGTGTGAATATTTGTGGGATAGCTTGTAAAAATTAAACTCCTGCCGTCCTCCTCTTATAAATCAGATTTAAAGCTTTTTAATGACGTTACAGGAAAAACTTGTTAAAGTAGTTAGACAGACTGGGATCAGGGACAGAGAAGGACATCAGGATATATGACATTTCACATGATTAATATAGATAAATGTCTCTTTCTCTGTCTCAATAATGATGTTATTTCTTTAACTGTGTCTTCTTTGGGTGTTTCACGATTCGATTGAGAATCCATTTTTGATTCAAAAAGATTCTGGATTCATGATTCAAAGTCTTTTTTTTGATTTAGTAAATACTTCAGGATCTACTCCAGTGATCTGTGAGACTGGCTGAATTTCTTGCTGCTCCATTTTGCATTCTACTGAGTTAAAATGCTAGCATTAGCACGTAGCAGGGAGTGACTGATTAGCCAAAAAAAAAAAAAAGATTTTTGGAAGTTATGAATCTATTTGAAATCTCAGAAGATAAGAATCTTGATTTTGACATAAATCGATTTTTCTTTTGTCCCTCCTCTAGTGTGAATGGTGGAATCGATGTCTGTGTTTGATTGACAGCTGTTTGCAGCCTGAGCTCCAGCAGGGAAGACGTAAACTCATGCTGCAGTTTTGTGGCCACAGGCAGACAGACGGAGTTGTTGTCGATTAAGTAAACAAAACGCACATTTCTTATTGAAGCAAACTGTCTTTTGTGTTGTGCACAGTTTGATTTTCTATATGGCTGTAAGACAAGACAAACCTCTCCATGCACCAAGATGTTTAGAAAGACAAAAAAGGTGTATGCATTTTATTCTTAGCTCTGGGCAGACAGGAGAGGATGATACTGATGACGACGATGATGATATTTATGAGAGGCTGTCGTGATGCCGATGATGATGACGACATGTAAACAAAAAGAACCTGTGCTTTGTCTCCGTGCCTGTCAGCACAGGTGTATCTGATCAGACTAAAAGCTGTTTGTTTGCACTCACTGACGTTGTTTCCTCCTCTCTAAATCCTTTCTTTTGTTGTTCTTACTCTCAGATGCACGTCTTTGGACACATCCTAAAACAACAATACCAACTAATAAAAAAGCAAACTAAAATAGACTACCAGGAGGTTTGAATTTCAAGTCTTTTGTTGCTGTTGAAGGAGTCTTTTTTGCATATAAATAAACATGTAGGTGATTGCGCTTAGAGCCCCTAACAGAGCGTGCATCTGCAGTATTCTCCCCCCCCCCCCCCCGGCATCATTTTGTCCGTCACTGGGAGCAGACTGTATGTTCCCCAAAATGAGCTGATAACTGCTTTTCCCCCCCAAAGGTGTCACAAAAGACGGCTCAAGACATTTTTCTGAGACAGCTTCTATAAAGCAGCAAAAAAATGTTACATTTAAATAGCCCAATAAAACTAAACGTAGTGAAACGCTCCGATGGCTCACATAATCACATGAGACTGATGGCTAAAGAGGATGTTTGCTCCCGCATAAAACAAAAAAAACCATAAAAAGTTGTCTGGTTAATCAGCTGAGAAACGACGAGATGAAAAATGGTAAACGGACTTGTGTGATGCTCTTTTAGTTTTCTAGACAAATCAAATGAGCTTTTACGCTCCTTGTCACCCATTAAACACGGCTGTGGGTCAGCGGTAGAGTGGGTTGTCTCTCATCTGGAAGGTCGGGGGTTCGATCCCCAGCTGCTGCAGCCACATCTCGAAGTGACCTTGGGCAAGACACTTAACCCCGACTTGCTTAGTTTTCTAGACAAATCAAATGAGCTTTTACGCTCCTTGTCACCCATTAAACACGGCTGTGGGTCAGCGGTAGAGTGGGTTGTCTCTCATCTGGAAGGTCGGGGGTTCGATCCCCAGCTGGTGCGGCCAGATCTCGCAGTGACCTTGGGCAAGACACTTAACCCCGACTTGCTTCTTCTGCTGCGTCAGTGGCATGTGAGTGTGTATGACTGGGATTGGTTAGCACACTAGGGCACTTAGGACACTTCACTTTCCATAGCAACCTCTGTCGTCAGTGTGTCAACGGGTAGGTGTGGCCTGTGGGGTACTGTGAAATGTGCTTCGAGTAGTCAGAAGACTAGAAATGTACCATTTGATCATATTCTTACACTGATGGCAGAGGCTGCATCAGTTTTACTATTAACTAATCACATTCACACGTCAGCGGCGATGCCTCTCAGGAGTAATTAGGGGTTCAGTGGAAACTTTAAATGTGGCTGCAGGAGCTGGAGATCTACACCCCCGTCCTTCCAGTTGAGATACAACCAGCTCTACCTCTGATCCACAGCTGCTGCTCTCTTGGCATCATCACATCGCTCAATTTAAAAAAAACAACTTTGTCCTTAATGACCGAATCCACCCAGAGATGCGTTCAGGATAGATGACGTCCCGTAAAGTGTTGACCCTTTATCTTTCTATCATCCTATCTCCTCTTCTAGGCCTGGTGTCCTGAGACCTAGCGTGCTTTGACTTATAAGATGTTTTTTTTTTTTTTTTTTGTGTAGATAAGATCACGGCGGTGCACATGAGGAATGTGAAATTCACTCCTCTGATCTTCTTAAGTGCCGCGGCCTTGCAGACCATGGGGGTTTTTTGGCTTTGCATACATATCAGTGCGTGTATTCCCAAAGCTCTAAAAAAAAAAAAAAAGAAGGTGTGAATCTACCTTGCTTTCATTTCCTTTAGTTGTCATCAGTTTTTTTTTTAATGCAAATTCATTTTCACCTTTAATTATGTATGTCACCTTTTCTTAAAGCATCCTCTGCCGGGATCCTTTTTATCTTTGCGGTTTCTATAAATATGCACGGGTATACTTTCCCAGGTCCTTGACATTGACTGTAATAGGAGCATTGTTTCTCTCTGGACTTGTCCTGCCGAAGCTAAAGGTAAGAGAGCCCCAGGTTTGGTTGAAACAGGAGCCATGTGTTATCTCACCTGCAGCCCCGGTCCGATGAATACCCCCCTCCTGTTCCTGTCCAGTCCCCCCCGCCTGCAGCACACATGCTTCTCCCCTCTCGTCTCCTCTCGTGCTGCTCTGCGGACGGTCAGGGAGAAACAGATGCGCCTGCACAGAAACACATTCCTTGGCTGCGCGCAAAAAAAAAAAAAAGATAGTTGCCATGGCAACCATCTGTCTCCCCTTTCGCAGCTCAGGAATCCATTGGCGAGGAGTTGTGCATGTTTGGATGTGTGTGTTTTGTGCGTGGAATCTGTGTTTTCTGCTGTTTTCTTCCCCCCTTTCCCGCCTGTACACATCTCAGCATAAGGTGTCACCGTGTTGACAGACGCCTGAAGTTTCTGTTTAGGTGCTCGTTATGTTCTCTCTGCTGTCACGTAGCCTCTGTGTCTTCAGTGTGATTGTCGAGATTTGTATTTTTAGAACAAAAGGTAGAGCTGCAAACAAAGAAATCAGTCCATGTAACCCCTGAACGATGGTCATGTGAAGTGATTGGTGGTAGCTCCTTAGCAACGCTTCCAGATAGAGGAGAGCTCAGGAACAGATTGTTGGGACATTATGATACCTTTTTCTTCTTCTTTGCTCTGAAAAGATGTTGATTTTTTTTTTTTTGCTTTTTATGTTTGACAGTGTTGCAGTTTTTTCTGTCATCTAAAAGCAGAAAAAGAGGTTGTCAGTGTCCAGCTCGAAGGTTGTTACCGTGGAGTCCAGCGTTCAGAGATTTAGAGATTTGGCTCCCACGTCAAAAGAAGTAAGAACTGCTCACACCTGCAACAGCTGGCTGAGACGGTGGCGATGTTCTGAGACGCAAGAAATATTGGATGTGTTGTGTGGAAGAAGTGAATAATCCTCTGGTTTTAAATGCAAAGTTAATGCACCTTTAATAAAGCTTCATTCTGTTTGATAACCAGCAAGGGAGGGGGGAGGGGGATTCAACTGGTTGCAATAAATGTCTAGACTGGGAAATAAACCTTCTTCTCAGTGATTTATGACCTCAGTAAACATCTTCCGTCTGAGAAAACGGTCTCAGTCTACACTTATATGTTCCATTTCACATGATATTCACCTTTAGTGTGTATAAAGATGGACGGTGCGCTACCCGCCACTTTTTGCAAAATACCTCTGCTTTTGGAGCTGTCAATCATGGCGTTATAACCAATTTTATAGCATCAGATAACTAATCCGAGCCTAACTTCTAACTACAGCAGATTAGAACCAACGACAATGACAGAATACTATGTTGGAGAAAAATGTGTTTGACAGTTTGTCCCATCTGTGAACATGGAGGGGGGCAAAGCTTACTGCAGCCACGGGGAGCTCTACTTTTGGGGAGCTGTCATGTCATGTCGTGCTTCTTCTTTTACTCTCAGTGGATATTCTCTGAATCATGATCCAGTTTTTAGTTGAATCGCTGATAAAGCAAGGCATGCATCAGGGTTTGGTTACGTGCGATTGAGGAGCCGCCGCTATGCGACCTATAGTGGAGCACGATGCAGATGTAGGAATGTGTCTCCTCTCTTTCATCTGAATATGCTCACTTTTAAGTAAAAAAAAAAAAAACAACAACAGATTTGCAACAGCATAAATGTTGAGCTCGAGGCGAGAGAGTCGCAAAGGGAGGAGGGACACAGAGAAAAGCTCACAGATGCAAAAGAGAGAGAGAGAGATAGACAGAGCTCCTGTCTCCTGTCAAATCACGGTCACGCCTGCAAACCCCCTCAGGAGCATTTGACTAATCAGTGCTAATGCATTCACTGCGTACTACCACCAGTCTGTCAACTGGGAAGCCTTCCCTGCCTCCATGTCCTCACACACTGCAGCTAACACACACACACACAATACATACGTACTTAAGGCCGGCTTTAGCGTTTGTTTGCCTTCCATTTTCTCCTCCTGATGGCCGCACGTCCCCTCTCGTATGAGCTTTAAGGAGGACGGAGAGTCATTGCAAGCTACGCACATCTGCTCCATTACTGCATTCATCCTCAAGGGACGCACTGGGACGCAGTGACCTTGGAGGCCCCTCCTGAATGTATTATGCATTATATCAAAGTGAATCCAGCTGCAGTAGTGAGTTGCTTAAGCCTCATCTGTAATTATCTGTTTTGGCCTCTAATGTGAGCTTTGATTTACGTCCTTATTGGTCACTGCTGTGTGTTTTTACTGGAGCTCGGCAGCGTGTCATCTCCACGTGCTTCAAGGGTTTTTTTTTCATCCTCCCTCAGAAGAAGAAGAAGAAGAAGAAAAAAAAAAAAGGTGCCCGTTTTTTTGCTTACTCGCGCTGAGAGACTTCGGAGTCAATCTAATGAGGATCCTGACGGCGGCTGTCCGTTTCCACGAGCGAGTAGTAGTAGGAGGGAGAGAGAGCGAGCTGTAGATTGCCTGTCCGTCTATATGTCTTTGAACGGACGAGCGAGAGAGAGAGAGGCCACAGGCTGTAGACAAGCTGTCTGTCTACAGAGAGGAGCTGTCTAATGGCCGTCAAGTCAGGACTCAGTGCAGCTACCTGCCTGTCTGGTCCGACCTGCCCGGCAGGAAAAAGAGCGTGTGGGAGGAGGAGGAACAAAAAAAAAAAACTGGCCCTACCGCTAGCTTCTGTTTATTTAACCACCTGCTATCTCCTACTGTTGCCTTCAATGTCATTAATGTCCGTGCCAATCCTCCGCCTCATAACATCCCATAACAGCCGCTTGTATTCAGACGCTGGTTAGTCTTTTCTTTTTTTTTTTCTGTTGGGTGAGTAATTAGCCAAAGCTTCGGCTCTCAGAGTGACGCTCTGGTTAATACTGTGGGAAAAAAAAAAGTGATGTCGTGAGCACCTCCAGGGGCGTCAAACGGCCACGTGTGTTAGTGGAAAAAAAACCATGATCCCACCAGTGAGGGTTTGTTATGGATGGACGAGTAACCAGGCAACACGGCGATACGATGAGGTCATTAAGGGATTTGTTTTGGGTCCTGTTGCAACTGAAATCTCACAGCTCTACCATAGTGTGTGTGTGTGTGTGTTTGAGTGTGTGTGTGTGTGTTTGAGTGTGTGAGTGAGTGTGTGTTTGTGTGGTTTTTTGATCATCTGATCATCACGCAGCCTCACCACCCCTGGTGTTTTGTTTTCTCTCCCTTCAGAGCCAGGAGTCTCTGTAAACAGGATAGAGAGGTGGAAACACACCCACATATACACGCTCTCTCTCTCTCTCTCTCTGACTCTCTCTCTCTTACTCTCTCTCTCTCTCTCACTCTCACACACACACACACACACAGTCACACACAGGTGAAGGGTGTATGTCATTACGTCACGCGAGCCGTGGCCGTGATGAGCCGGTGTGCGGAAGGGGAAAGGAGCTGTCGTCAGTCGGCGTGGAGAGGTGCTTGGTGTTTCTTTTTGTAAACACTTTGAAAGGATTGTTGTAACTCGTGGCTGAGTGGATTTTGGAGTTTATGTAAGAAGAAACCTCAACAAAGGACGTCGGGCTGTGGAGGAATGCGCCGGTAACTCGCAGCTCTGAGCTCCGAGGGGAAAACTCGGGTAGGCTGAACCTCACGTCCATGAGCGCAGGTGCTGCTGTGCGTCCTGCATCCGGGTGTGTTTTTTTTTTTTTTTTGCTGCTGTGGTTTCTGCAAAGCGAGCGTAGATATTCTGTGTGTTTTCAGGGAACAGAGGAGGCGGATATGCAGCTTTGAAAGTTAGTTTCTTCCCACCACTAACACTCATTCTCTCTCTCTCTCTCTCTCTCTCTCTCTCTCGTCCTGTCTATCCCACCCCCTCCCCCCCCTCCTCCCCTCCACTCCACCTCCTGCCTCTGCAGCCGAGTCAAGCCAGGAGCTGGGGCCCCCTCCGTCGGTGGATGAGGCAGCCAACACATTGATGACGCGCCTGGGTTTCCTTCTGGGAGACAAAGTGAGCGAGGGGCCGGCCGGTACCCAGTACAGCATGGAGGAACCCGAGGCGAGACAGGTAATGGCCTCGATAATGAACTGGACTATTTGCCACCCGCCTAATGTGCCTTGAAAGCAAATTTTTTTTTTTGTTACCATTAAGACACCTACAGACTGAAAAGAAGATGTTGTTTTGGGAGTTTTTCTGGAGCATTCAAACCGTGTGATGTCACCACAGTCACTTTCAATCATATCGCTTCTGTAGATAAAGAATTTGGCGCCAACAGGCGTGTTCCAGTTTCATTTTCCTCGCCCCCTGCCATTCTTGTGGTTTATCCCTAATCTGATTGTCTTCTTGTGTTTGGGATTTTCGACACATTTTCGTTTTGTAAGAGATCATGCTTTGGAACATGAGCGAAACCTTCTGATTTGGATCTGTTTTGACATTTATCTTCATCATTTCCTTGCTCACGCTTGGTGTTTTTTTATTTGACAGCTCTTTGGATAGCCGGATCAAAAGACTTTTTTCTGTGTACCCTCAGACACCACAAGCGCCTCGAATTCGCACTTATCAATGCCCTCGCCATCAAGCGTCAGCGATCCACCCCGTCTAATTTGTGGTTTATTTTCCGCATGCTTTAGACTTTTTGCTTATTCGGGAGAAAGATGTTTTGAGTTGACATGCAGCCCGGCTGAGCTTCCATTTCTCTGTCGTAACCTTTCAAATCGTGACTTTGGCTGTTGTGCAACAAACAGCTCCTGGCACTGCTGGCCTGCTCTGAGCTCTGCAGCAGATTGCCCCGGTTTCTCTTACCTAAACCTGATGTGACAGGTTTGAATTTTCCAAATTGAGGGAAGAAAAACGTTTGCGGCAAACGAGTGAGAACGAGAAAACACGCGGGGAGGAGAAAAGGGGGGGGAACCTGTTGCTAAATTCAAATCAGCTGTAGGTATGGTTTTTTTGCTCTAAAGCAGTGTGGATAAACGATTAGACTGATGGACTGCCTGTGCTCGATGTGAGCTCTGCTGTAGCAGTGGGGGTGTATAAATTGAGAGAGGTTTATTCAAGCGTCCCTTTTTTAGAGACGTGACTCATACTAGCACCCTGCTGCATCGTGAACACAGTGCACAACTTATTATTGTAGATATCTGCCCCAAATGCTGCGCTCCTGGTGCAGCTTGTTTGATACATTTACCACCCAATATGATAAGGAGTGCCTCAAGGTACCATCGGGGGGGGGGGTGGCTTCGGTGGTGGCTTTCATAATTTAGTAGAGAGCAGAACAGTAATAAAGTAAGACACAAGAGTCACATCACAAGGAGGCTGTCAATTCAGCCGTGACGCTGAGTCATAATGTCTGTTGTCATTTTGAATATTGAAGTATTTTCAGCACAATACTTTTGAAGAAGCTTCAGTGTTGTTTTTAATTTTCCTTTCATGGTTTTAATGTCTTTTAGTTAGCTTGCAGGCTAAGGTTAATGACAGCTGTCTTTCTCACAGGGGCGTGTTCAGACTTTTCTGGGCTGGGGGGGCAAACTGGAGCACTGGGGTGGCCTGAAGTTTTTTGTACACACAGCTTATTTACCCCTTCTGTCCGCACTAACTTTGACTTTTGAGTAACACAGGATAACACTAATAACATATACATCTTTTAAGAGTCATTCTTCAAGGACTCAAAGAATATGAACGTATGAAAGTCACAAAGTAAAACAAACATTCTGCACACTGAAAACTATGTGCTGCCTGTTGGAACACAGCCTGAATAGTTGATGTACACAGATAAGTGTGCAGGAGTTTGGAGTGGCCTGACCCCTACCACCCCTTCTGACCACGCCCCTGCTTCCTGACCAGGCTGACCCCTCCAGAGAGGCTTAGAGCAACACTTTTTTTTTTTTTTTTTTTTTTAACTATTTATTCTGTTTTGGTTTTTTTTTTACCAGTTTTTATAACTATTTGTTCTGCATTGCTTTTGTTCACGGTCACCACAGAGAAGACAAAAGACCACATATTGTAGTGTAGATTTGTTTAATGTCTTATCGACTGATGTTTCAGGTTGTCCATCTAAAGGGGGCTTCCCATCCTGCACTCACAGGAGCGTAGGCTCATTTGTCGACTAGTTAAAAAGCTGTGTTGAAACTAACCATCCAATCGAATTCATCCCATGCATGTCCCGCCTTCTATCTTCAATTCAAGAGTCAAGATTTTTATTTGTCACATGCTCATACAGATGTGCAGTGAAATGTAAAGACTGTTCCGCAAGGCCATGCAATAAACACTCAAATTGCTAATACACATATTCAGTAAAAGAGAATATAATGTAAAATAAAATAAAAATGTATTTGAATATACAAAATATAGAATAATGTAACAGTGTAAAGTGTCAGTGTGTAATCTTGTGACTTGTTCTAAACCATTTCAGTTGGAAATGCGTCACAGCAGGGTGTCAGTTAGCCTCGGGGTTATGTCGTGCACCCCATGTACAGAGACTGTAGTCCTCATCGCAGCGGCACTAAGTTTGAAACCGGCCTCGGCCCTTTGCTGCATGTCATCCCTCACTCTCATTCCCCAACATTTCCATGTCTCTCTTCAGCTGTCCTATCCAATAAAGACAGATCTTTTTGCTCATGACAAGCAATCCAAGCCAAATATTTTATTAGTAACATCTTGAAATAAGATTCTTATCTGGCTCGTCCCATGAATGAGACTTCACTTAAGTGTGATAAGCTATATCTTTAACGAGAAATTAGACAAATACACTTGTTAAGATTTCATTTCTTTGCACAATAAGAAAGCTGTCAAACATTTTAATTAATCAAAAACATTGTCATCTCCTTGGATATTAGTCGTGTATAGGACATAGTATTATAAAAATCAATCGTTGGTCGGGAGAGATGGCCTTTTCTGTAAAACACCTGTCATTCAACTTTCTGACACGGTTACATTGTGATAGCTGGTGTCTGAGCTGGCCGACCTCACCGGCTCACAGAACAAGGTCACCTCGACTGGCAGAGCGTGCAGTTAATTGCCTTCCGCGCTCTCGTGTGCTCTCGCTCCCTGAATAGACGAAACGCTCAGGAGTTCAAGCCGATCCTTGTACGCCGTTTGAGGTCAGACCTCCACGAGGCGAGGGTTCATTAGCCTCGGCGGTGTCGCTGTGTGCACGCTGCAGAGCGGTTTGAAGGCTTATCCGCTCGTGTTTGTGTGTGTGTGTGTGTGTGTGTGTGTGTGTGTGTGTGTGTGTGTCTGTTTGCATCGAGGGTCAGGCTCAGGTAAACATGAACGCTTTAGATGTCTCATCCACGGCGAGAGCAGAGGGCGGCTGTGACTGAGAGAGTGGCTGACAAATAGTTATTCATTCAGCCACACACACACACACTTATACACACAAACACACTCTTATACACACACACACACACTTATACACACAAACACACTCTTATACACACACACACACACTTATACACACTCACACACACACACACACACACACACATAGCACAGGTTAGAGGCCATGTACCGTAGTGGACAATGTGTTGACAGGGTTACAGATGTCACAGTGAGTTACTCAGCCTCACAGCCACTGCTGCTGTGCTGAAATCACTTCCTGGACACGTTTTATCTCACACACACACATATACACACACATATATAGATATATATATATATATCTATATATATCTATATATATATATATATATAGATATATATCTCTCTCTCTCTCTCTCTCTCTCTCTCTCTCTCTCTCTCTCTCTCTCTCTCTCCAGTCTTCTGCTATCAGAAAATGTTACACATATTCTTGAACCCTCTTGTTTTAAAGATGGCGGACAACACATTATAAACACATCTCAAATGAGGCCCCGTGTCCACCTAGCGTTTTTTCTTTCTCAGTGTCTTTTATCAGTTGTTCTCAATGGGTAGAGAGCGTTTGTAGCAGAAAGCGGCTGCCTGGATGAAAAGTGCAGCGCCCAGCATCTTTTTTTTATTTTATTTGTTCAGAGCAAAATGTAAACATGTTTTGCAGCGAGTCAAAGCTCCAAACGTTTTTTTCAGAAAGTGAAGAGAAACAATAAAACAGGTGTAAGACACAGTTGTCTAAACATTCTTGGGTGGTAATAGTGGTGAGACAAATAAACATTTTGTAAAAGGAAATTCAAAGCTTGGCAAAGCCATTGTGGCCCAGAATCTTTTTGACTAAGCGCTCTGCCGCTTTTGTACGGCCGCTCTGATTGTCAAGTTGAAAATCATTCAACTTTTCAGGAAAGGTTCAAAATGTGTGATATTCCCAGTATTTTAGCCTCCTGCGGATCGTGTCTTGTACCCACATCCTCTTTGCTCCGTTTCTGATCGGGTAAAAAAACGATCTCAAATATAAAACATGCAGTGAAGATAACGCTCGTACAGCTGCCGTTGTCAACAAACTGTTGTCATATAGAGAGCGCTTTCCTTCTCTGAGCACAAACGCTTCATACAAACACTGCCGAGCTCACAGCTGGTTCTTTTCTGCCCGGAAAAAAACGCCAGGTGGACACGAGGCCTGAGGCAGTTAAAGACTTTATATGTGATTTTTCACACTTAAATATAATATAAATCAAGTCTATCCTCTGAACATAACTCTGTGAGTCATGACTGTCAACAATGGGTGTAACACCCGAGTCCCACTGTCCGTGATGTTTTCAGAGTTTTCAGAGTCCTATCTTCACTTTGTTTACATCGCCGGGACGGCCGGCTGACTCCTCCCCTCGTGTATAAAAGTTGTTTAATTGAGGGACTAGAGAAAAGAAGAATAACATACTGTACTCACTGCTTAACTGTGTTTCTAGATCACGCTCATTTCAGGTAAATTTACATGCAGTGTGAAGATACCAGCATAATAAAGATCGCTAGCATTAGCATGCTAACACAACAATGCAGCGCGAGTCGTTATGGTTTCATGCTGGTGCTCAAGGGCGACATCTGCTGGATCAAAAAATATAAAGCATATAAAGCCTTTAAAGGAAAGGGTAGACTGTATGGCTTTGATGTTATCTGCTTACATACAGTAATACATGTTGACACAACAATCCACGGATCAAACCAACATCCTTACGATTTATTGGCGTCCTGATCTATCTCCTGTGCGTGCCTCATGAGGCCTCCAACAGATGAACCAATAATAAATACTCTTCTCTCAGCTGTATGTGTGTGTGTAGGTGTCTATTAGCTTTGTGTCAGTTCAGTCTTCTGGCTGTTCATTAGACACGACTACATGGAGCCTCTAGCTCTCTCCACTTTGAACCTGAACTCGTCCTCAGCACCTTTAAAGAGAGACCTCCTTCTGTTCCCGCGGCTCCTTGTCTTCTACTTCAGCTGTTTGACATCCCCTTGTTTTTTTTCTCTCGTGCCTCTGCATTGCGTCGACGCAGAATGCATGTCTTATTTAGGTACGTTCGTCCGTGGGTGTTTTTTTTTACAGCCGCAGCGCTGTTTTGATTTTGTCCCCTGTGTCTCCTTGTCTGCTAACCGATGCAGAGGAGGGTCACCGCAGGGGGGCCAAAACAATGCGGGGACTGGGAAGAATTTGTATTCAAGAAGTGTATGGGATCGCAGTTTTAGCTTTGTGTTGTGCTAAATTGTCCTCACAGCTTTCAGGAGGAAAAGATGAAGGGAATCAATGACAGTGGGGGTCGGATATTTGATCAGGGATTATCTCATTACCAGAATTTAAAACTTTAATATGATACGAGTAAAAATCACTGATATCAACAAAAATACAAGTCCTAGACACCCAATATTTTTTTCTTTTTGTTTTGTTTAGTATTCATTTTTGGGCTTTTACTGGTTTTATTAAAGAGGTAGGAGAGTGGGTAGAGTTGGGATTTAGGGAGAGAGAGAGAGCAGGGAATGACGTGCAGGAAAAGAGCCGCAGGTCAGATCCCGGGCCGCCCGCTCGGAGGACTATGACGTTCGTACACGGGATGCGAGCACTCACTACTAGGCTACCAGCCACCCGTTTATTTATTGTTTTTAAATGCCAAAAAAATGCTCACTCCTCTTGCACACCGTCTTACTGTACAAAAACATTGGAAACATGTCCGTGCAGGAACTCGTTCCTCTCTCGTCTTTAGTTATGGGTGTGATTTTTGTTTTAAAGCTTTTGATCTTTTGAATTTTACATTATTGATCATTAAAATAACGTTGATTGTATGCTTTAAAAAGACATGTATCGGGGCGCTGGTGGCGCGGTGGTTAGTGTATCCAAGCATCCTAAATGTTGACAACCTTCCTTTGCTCTGCTTTTGGCAGTTTTTTTTTAAAAATTTTATCACAAATCTAATGTTCATTGAACTCTATTCAGATTGTTACATCCTTTGACATTTTTGATATTATTGTTCAAATCCAGAAGAGAAATAGTCTCATGACTCCTGCATGTTCAGTAAGAACTACAGTACACATGCACAGAATCAGATTTCGGAGATGCCACACCCTTTAGTTTCTACAAACGGAAATGACTTCTTCTCCTTGATGTTGATGTTCTGGCTCACGTCCCTGAGATGTTTACTGACTGCTCGACGTGTGTGTTTTTCCTGCGATCCTCCTCGTCTGCAGTGATGTTGCTCTGTACAGAACCTTTATCGGGTGATTGTAGGTGTTCTTCTTTCTGGTTTAAAAAGTATTTCCGTGCGATTTTCTTTGAAAGCTGTGTGTCATCATCTTGTTTGCAAAGCTCTTTCAGACATGTATTTTCGGTACATGCTGCAATGATTAGTTGTTATGATATGCTTTTTGTGTGCATGTGGGAGACTTTGAAAGGCAGCTTTTGAAAACAACAATATTGAAGTGACATTTGCCGGCATGTATGTGACTCACTTATTGAAATTCAATCATTGTACTTTGCCATTTATACCTGTGAGCTCTGATTGAGTTGCTGGATCCAAACAAAGCTTTTGAAACATGTGTCTGTGTGTGTGTGTGTGTGTGTGTGTGTGTGTGTGTTTCTCAGGGCCAGAACCAGAGGATAAGCCCGTGCTCCACCCTGACCAGCAGCACTGCCTCACCCCCTGCAGGCAGCCCCTGCTCCACCCTCCCCCCTGCCATGCCAGGCCAGGCTGGAAACAAGGAATGTGCCTACGGTTCTGTCACCAGTCCAACTTCAACCCTGGAGAGCCGGGACAGCGGGATTATCGGTGAGATCTGAAATCAGATTTATGTCAAACGATATCGATACCTATTTCGATACCTCAGCAAGAAAAAGAAGTCCTAGGCATCAAATGTTGGGGAGTGTCTTGTGTTAAGATACCAAGAATTGCACACTTTCGCTCAAGGCATCTTTTTGTTAAAAAACATGACTGATGTGTTTTTTTTTCTAAAGCGTCAATGCTGATTCATCGATCGATTGATTGATTGTATTTATTTGCGTGTCATGCACCCAAATTCCCCAGACCTCATGGGTTCATAAGACACCAGAAATTCAGTCACAGCGGTTTAACATCACACAACATTGCAAAGTTGCATGTTCCTTTCACAGCTCCGTCTTGAATAGTGTGTTCAGTCTTTTCTCCCAGCAGGCTTTGCAAGGGAGAAGCTACAAAAAAGGTTCCTCTTTCTAAAGCACGTTGAGAAAGTATCGATCCTTAAAATAATGGGAACTAAAACGTCAAATGTGAAGCTCAAATTTTTAAAATATAAGCTCAAATTTTCTGCCCGTAAAAAACGCTAGGTGGACACAGAGACTAAGGATTTCCTTTGAATGAACAGCAAGCTAAACCTTGGACTGATATGAACACATTTTTCTGGCTGTTTGAAGACAGAATCGAAACGGTGTGAAATATCCTTTAAAAGGTTGAATCTTTTGATCGATACAGACTGCAGCATTTTTGACCGTGGAATAAAGCCAATTTGCTTAAACAGAAGGTCTAGAGAAGGTCTAGAGCAGGGGTGTCCAAAGTGCGGCCCGAGGGGATTTTTTGCGGCCCGTGACTTCAAATGAAGAATCAGAAGATTTTATTGATTAAGATTGGCACGTTATCTTATTTTTCATGTTAACAAGCACTGAACAATATTCCTAAAACAGAAAATGTTCAGTAACATGTATGTTGTTGTTTCAAATCTACAGATTTTACTATTTTCCACATTTTTTTGTAAACTATGAAAAAAAAACATATGCAAAGTTTTTGCAAACAAGCGGACTGTTGTTTAACCATTTAATGACCTGAGCTAAATGAACCATGTTACAGGCTCTGAGAAAAAAACTAATAAAGTAGAACGAAGAAATCAAAATATTTGATTCCCTTTTATTAAAGGGTTTCTTTTGATTCTGATCTACAAAGCCCGCAAGAAAAAAAGTTTGGACACCCCTGGTCTAGAGGTAGTCCACCTGTCCCGCTCTGACGGGTCCCCCTAAATTCTGGGATACCTGACTGTTAAAACTTGTGACTGTCTGTACTGTAGGAAAGCTGAACCTTAAATGTCATAACCAGAATGCCTGTACTTTAAAAAACCTCCACCTGAACGCTGTGGTTCATGCAGCCAGAAGCAGCCTGTCCTCCCACTGGAGGATGATTCAGGTGAACATGTCATGTTGACGTGATGTGTGTCATTCCTGCATCCTAATCCAGAAAGCAGGAGAGATGAAGAGCTCATTGTTTTCGAGGCGTTTATTCGCGTGAGTCGAAACTCGTGCCAACATGGTTTCCTGGCAACTCCTTTGAACACCTGCGGTTGTGTGTTACATGAACAAATCCCGGTACGATTCAGAGCAGCCGTGTGAGCGCTAACCAGCTGGATGAGGTTGAGGAAAGATAGTGGGGGGAAAAACAAAAAAAAAGACTGGAAAATGTAGTGTGAAAATGGCCTTAAAGCATGGCACACATTCCAGCTGTTAACCGCCCTGATGTTTTTGTCTCTTTCACAGCCACACTGACCAGCTACTCGGAGAACATGGAGCGAGGCGGCAAATACGAGGGCTCCCGGGGGAACCTGAAGCTGTGGCAGTCGCAGAAATCAGGCATGGACTCGTTCCTGTACAGGGTGGACGAAAACATGACCGCCTCCACCTACAGCCTCAACAAAATCCCCGAACGCAACCTGGAGAGCATGTCCTCCCACTCTGCCCACTCCATCCCTCTGTACCTCATGCCCCGCCCTAACTCTGTGGCCGGTGAGTCCCCCTCCTCTATCCCGACCTCTCCTGGTGAAAGTAGACATGACAGAAATAAGGGTGTGAGCATGAAGGTTTCAAATCCCGGACAAAAATCAAGTCATGTTACCCCCCTATTTCTCCTTGGTAGCCCCTCCTTCACTCCTATTCAAGCCTCCTTTCCTTGCTTGTGTTCTAGCTTTCCTTTCTGTCCTTCAACATGTCTTTCTGTGAACACAAATCTAACAGTGGAGAGTAGAGGGACACACTGATTTATACAGATTCTGCTTAAAAATGTTGAATCTTTAGGCCGGGGCTGGATGTGAGTATTTGAATTGTTCTGGTTTCTTGTCCAAATATTATTGACCAATCACTTAGCAGGCTTTGGTGTACACAGGAAAAACAGTCTGTAAGGAGAGTAAGAGCAGCAATACGACAACGTTTAATTTATCTTTATAAACAGATATCTGCATGTGAAGCTATCAAACCACTCTTTAGCGACAAATACTTGACGCTGTGTTGGGAAATCCAATCAGGTTTCAGGCTTGCAGACTCTCTGGTATGCATCAGAAAGAATCAATCTGACCTCTGTTCAACAAACGAAACATTTCAAAAAGTTGTTTTCTTCTCATTTTTGAGGGCAGACCTAACAAAGCTTGACTTTTTACTTCTTCATAACTGCATTATGATGATATTTCTGCAAACGTCAACCAATTGATTGAATCACAAGAAAATCTGTTTGATTTTTGGGCTCACACAGCCGAAGCGCTCCAAAGTGAAGCCTCTGTGTGACTTACTATTTACAGTTAAACTCACCAGAAACTGATGAACGTGCACTCATTCGGGTGTTTTCTGTTTGCAGACATTTCTGGATTCAATAAATTCGCTTTGCTGTTGATCTTAAAACACAGCCGCTTCACAAAGTCGTAAACAATTCAGCGAACAAAAGAGAGAAGTCTTGGCTGAACGCTGCTTACCTCAGGCTCCACCAGCATGCCAAACACTTTGCAACATTTAAGAGGAGCAGATCCAGCTCATCAGTATGATATTTATTAGTAATAATATTGTGCTAAAAAGCCCCAAAGATAATCTGTACACCTTCAATTTTCTTCCCAAAATTAAATTAAACTTTTATCCAACTCAGGTTTACAATCTCATTAACCCCTACCCACACCCACACACACACACACACACACACACTCAAAGTACCTTTACTCTCTGCTCTTTCACTGGACATGAGCCGTGATGTAACTTTCACATGTCACATGTTTCTTGTTAATAATTGGACTGCCAGTCAGCGGTTCAGGGCAGAACAGTCGTGTAGGGATGATACTTCTTGGCTGCTGGTGTAGATAGATAGACTCTTTATTGTCGTTGTATGAAAGAATCCTGTACAGCAGCGTTTACAAAATAAGATTTGAAAGTTCGGTTCGTCTGTCAGACCTGTTTTTTGGTCAAATCGCTGCTAGCTCTGAGCCGCAGCGTCAGTGCGCACCGCCATCTTGGATGTAACCAGTGGATATCTAAAAAATGAAAAAAAAAAGGGGCGAGGGATAGCCGGGCAAAGACTTCCTCTTACATGCACTTGTCATTGTTTAGATGCAACTTTAGATGCTGAAGAATGATGTTGGCGTTGACAAACCATAATCTGTGTTTTATCCACATTCATATCTGTTTATCAGGAGAGATAAGAGCTTAACTGTCGTTCTCTTATCGACAGTTTTCAGGAGTTGCATCACTTTCCCTCCACACACAGACTGTTTTCCTGCCTACAAGCAAGCATACGAGTCATTTAAATGTGATTACTCGATAATAAGTGGGCTACAAATAGACCAGAAACAGAAATCAAAACATATCCAATCCCATCATCTTGTTCTGCGTGTGCAGATTCAGCCCTCATATGTTTGTAGAGACTTACAGGGAGAAGATTTAATGTTCTAATTACTCATATTACCAGAAACTCTGTGAACAAACACGAGTAAAAAACCACATTCCTCCCTCAAATCTGGATTAAATCAGCCCTCAACCATCTAAAACACGAGCCCTGCTCTTGGGAGAAGCTCAGTTGTGGTTTCATGTGATTCAATTTGTCGTAATTTTTACACAGCATTTTCTTTTTGTTCAAAATCTAGGGAGGAAACAAACCCTTGTTGTTTTTTTTTTTTTTTTTTTAATTTCATGGGGTTACGTTGCGATTTCGGGGAGCTGCGGATCCGCAGTGGTGTTTTGTTAAACTCTCACAGCTCTGTGGTGCGGAATTGAAACCGCAGAGCGAGAGAATAATACAGTCTGGGGGGGGGAAGAGGGGAAAAACAGACTGCGGCTGGAAGGATATCACATAGGAGAAAAAGCTGGCGTTTGTGATGCTGACAGAGGTCTCATTGATGTGTGTTTCTTATTGTCGACTGAGGAAGACAAAAGGCTCCATAAAAGTAGCAGTAAATATATGAGGAGAGATGTCAGTTTCATAACACTGAGGCGGTCCTAATGGGCCTGATTGTGTTATTGTTCTCATCATCAGAGAGAGAGGCTGCTACAGACGGAGGGCTCTATTATGCACTTCTCTCACTCCCACTGGAAAAAAAAAAGTGTGTGTGTGTGCATGTACTTTTATAGACGCGCACATACGTAACACTCAACGCTGTAATACGCCTGACAAGGCTCGTCGCTGCGGCTCTGACCTTCTCCTCATGCTGGTCATGTTCTCGCTGTTTGACACCGCTTGTCTGTCTGGCGGCGCTTTGCGACTCTGCCGGGGTTTTTTTATTTTTTTATTTTTTAAGAGATTCACCCTCGATTCTGATCCCCCGCCCCACCTTCAAAGGAGACGGGAGACAGCTTTAGAGATATACTTTTAAGCTGCAGGTGATGCAAGAAGTAAAGTTAAGAGAAAAACCGAGGGGGGAGGGAGGAAGGGGACGGCGTTTCAGGAGGGGTGTTTGTGTTTTTGTCAGGAGCAGGAATTCTGTGCTGCGGAGCTGGAGATGCATACATGTGGAAGAGGAGTGAAAGGGAGTTTCATAATCTCTCTCTCTCTCTCTCTCTCTCTCTCCTCCACAAAGAATTATTAGGCGATGTAGGGACGGGGAGGCGAGCACAGGCTGAGGATTGGTTGGGCTCACACAGCAGTGGAACATCAAAGCCCCAGGCATTAACCGTTTCTATCCCCCAGAGTGACAGAGAGACTCGCTTTGAAGTGCGGGGAGAGCGAGGGGAGAGAGATAGGGAGCGAGAGCAGAAGGCGACTGAGGAGGAAAACTGGGAGGAAGCAAGGGTGTGGTGGTGGTGGTGGTGGTGGTGGAGGGGGGGGGGTACTTTATTACCTAATGAAGGCAGTGCGTTGGTAGAGCTTAAGATGGATATGGAGGGAAGGAGTAACCAAGGCCGTGTATTGAATTTCCTCTCTCTGCCTTTATGGTGCTTATACGTCTTACTGGAGGGGAGCAGAGTGGAATTTAAAAATGAGTCGTTAATGCCCATCAGGGATTTAAAAAAATAAATAAATAAATAAATGTTTCCAAGTTTGTATTCATGGAAGAAGGATGGTCGTTCATAACCGCTCAAGCATCCCCACATTACAGCGACCCAAAAGAGCCGTATTTAAAAAGTGATGTCACACTTTGATAAATCTGTGTTTCCCTTTTTTTTTTTCAAAGTCGATAAATTCTAGATCCTGCTTTTCCAGTCATAACCTCCAGGGATGATAAATGTTGTCAGCGACCGTTTTGCCGTGACGGATACGAGATGCTGACGAGCTAAAAATAGATCTTTGATGATGAAAACTGTGATGGCACTTATGGTGAGTTTATTTGGGGGGGGGGGGTTCAATGTAGAGATAGGAGAGTAGAGAGAGTCAGGGAGAGAGAGAGCGGGGAATGGCGTGCGAGAAAAGAGACAAGTCGGATTCAAACCTGGGGCTGCCCGCTTGGAGGACTATAACCTCTGTACATAGGGCACACCTTATATTTTAGTATAAATAAGTCTCTCCTTTTCATTCCTTGCATTGGAGTTGATTACACCAGAGCAGGGTCGACCCTTTTCTCACTCCGGCCTGATCCAGGTGTTTGAGACGGTTTTGAAAATGCTGCACGGCTGAAAACTGAAATCTCAAGATGTCGTCCAACAAAACCAAATTTAGATTCTTGTTCCCGTTGGTTTTGCCACATGAGGTGAGCAACACTCGCCCAATTATCTAAATAGATCGCAGATGACGATAAAATCAGTGGAATTCATGAACAGATAAAAAAAAACCAACAACGTTAAAAAATGAATCCCTTACTAAGAGGTGGAGCGATCACAAGTCCAAACTCAAGAAGCCTTTAGGGGGTTTCTTGAGCCTCTAGGCCGCCCCTTAAGGGTGGAGGGAATAGTTCCAGTGAAGGCAGGTTTATTGCGTTTCATTTAGGTGGAGTGAACCTTTAGAAATTGTCATGTTGGAGGCTGTAAATGCAGCAGCTTATATAACTGCAGGGGGATTGTGCAAACCCTGAGACTGAAGGGGTATTAAAGACTCCCTGACTGACTCTATAGTCTCTAAATTCTCTAAATGAAGATAACAGCTCGCCAGAGATAACATTTTTTCAATTTGGGGGGGGGGGGGGCGTACAAGTCATTGATTTCCATTTCTTCCTGATTTCCCTTTTGTCCCCGATCCCACCTCGGCTTACGCGCTCGGTGTAATGCCCCGGAAATATTATTGTTTAAATACCGGGGGCCTCCATTATCTATCACCTGGAGTCATCTCTCGGGGAGATGAGAGGAGAACAGAGAGAGGCGTTTTAGAGCACCGGGCAGCCACCTCATATCTGAGATGACGAGTCGGCGGCCCAGCTGCTCTCTTGACCGTGTGTGAACGTGTGTGTGTGTGTGTGTGCCATCAGTCACTCTTTTTGAAACAGGAAGTGCGCGATGTGGCCGTCGCCGCCCCGCAACAGCAACTGAGCAGCTCTCTGCTGCTGCGCGGTCAGACCTGTTCCCGGTTTGTCTTCCCTCTTTGTATTTGTGCGTGCAGCCTCAGCGTGTTGGCTCAGGAGCGGTGGATGTGATCCCCGGCAGCCTGCTGCATTGCAGATAGAGATGATGAGCACACAGATTTGAGTCCTCACATTCAAACACAGTTGAAAGGAGACTTTCCAGCCCCGTAACTCTGAGTCATTCTTCCTTGGTCGAGCTGTAGACCCATGCCTCCTCTGTCTCCACTTTTAGCCCCCCCCCCCCCCCCCGTTTGATGACCAGCACCCCCTTTTCCCATCAGGGCCCGAGCCTCCAGCATTCTCAGCTGCCATTTTCCCTCCATTTTGGGAAACCCATGTGGCTCGTTTTTTTGGGTCCAGGGCTTTGGTGACTGAGGGGGGGGGGGCAGTAACCAACACACACACACATATACACACAGAGAGAGAGAGTCATGCACGTGCTCACTACTTCACTGAGCTTTACTCCAGTAGCACAGAAACGGCTCTCTGTGAACCCATGAAAGGAGACGATCAAGGTTGAGGTGCTGCTGATTTTTGAACACCGGTGAGAAAAGAATGTTCTCCGAGGCCGACCACACGAAGGGATTACTTTACTTTAAGCTTGACTTTCTGGAGAGAGAAACGGAGGATATCAGTGTGAAGAGGCGTGCTCTGGCAGTCACACCTTCCCCCGATGTTTAGAGTTTTTTGGGAAACTCAGCAGGTACAGCGTCAGTGAAAATGTTTCATCAGGTTTAATCTCCTGGGGTCTTATTTTTGTTTCTTTGTAAACTCTGCTGGTTGTGATGGCATCGCACTCGTGAAGTTCATTTATCTATATGTGAGATTAAATGAGACGGGCTGAGATACACAAGAGGCACATTGTCAGACAGGATGAAAGACAGGACCCAAAGCTGTTCCTTCTCAACTTCAGATAATGAGATCCTTTTTTTTTTTTTTTTTGGAAGCCTTCATTTGAGAGACGGGACAGTGGATTGAGAAGTTCAGGATAGAGAGAGAGAGTGAGGAAGGGAGCCACAGGTCGGATTCAAACCCAGGCCGCCAACTTTGAAGACGACAGCCTCTGCACATATGGCGGGAAAACTAACCGCTTGATCACCGGCACCCCCTGATACAAATTTTTTCTACAAAAAGTCTCCACACTTGAACTTTGTAGCTCTCAAATATCTTCTTTTTTTAAAGATATTTGTGGGCCGTGTTTTCATTGGAGAGCTGAAGAGAGAGAGGGAAATGTCAGGATGAGAGAGCTGGGGTGGGACGACATTCAGCAAAGGGCAGCGGTCGGATTTGAACACACGGCCGCTGCGGCCCGGACTATAGACCTCTGAACACGGGGCGCGTGACATAACCGCTAGGCTACAAGCGACCCCTTAAATGCCTCTTAAATAAAGATTAAGAATTAAAAATAATTCAATACAGAAGACTCTTTAACTGAAAAACAAGCTGAGCCTCCTGAAGAGCTTCAGAAAATCTGTTTTTACTATTTACTGATTTCTTTTTTTTTTTTTTTTACCATTACCTCTTAGTTAGAATTTTTAAAATAAAGCCAAATCTAAAATCTTATTACAGACCTTTAGCCAGAATCCACTCCTGTTACAGTGTCTGCTGGCATCGAGCAGTGCTTGTTTACTTTTGTCACATGAAACTGACCTCACATAAGTTCTCCTGTATAGAATATAAAACAATAGATCAGTCGCAGCTGTATTACAGCTTACTGAAGTGTAGGCAGAAAAAACAGTCCAGTTTTCAGGGAGCTTAAAAATGACTGTATCCGATTGTTGCATCAAATAGCACACTCGCTTATATCCAAAACTTTATTTATCAGCTGTTGTTGTATTTCCCATAGTGGTATCTTTATGCACGCTCATCACGGTTCACACAGCAACTGTCTGATTTCCTGCTCAGCCTCCTTCATCATGTCACCTCCTGTTTATCGTTTTTTTTTTTTTTATAAGATTTTCCCAGGCTTCAGGAAGTTCCTCAATGAGAACAGTGTTTTCATAACTGCTTTAACAAACAGCTACAGAGCTCAAAACCAGCGATGTAATCAACTTGGAATAAAAATGAAGAAACACAGAAGTTTACAGGTTCCCAGGAAACAGTTACTCAGCGGTCCCACACTGCAAGTCTTCAATATTTTGCCCTCCAGCAGCATTCTTCAGCTTCTCCATTATCTCTGCATTAGTAGATTTTACTCCGACCAAATTTCAGTTTTAATGAAACAAACTAAATCCCCCTCTGTCTCAGATTCCCTTAATCTCTCCTGGAAGTTACTCCCAGTGCTTCTTGTCCTTTTCCCCCCGTCCTCACCTCTGACTGAGCCGGGGTGGGGCATCAGGTGTGAGGAAGGATCAGGGAACCCCGCTTGCTTACTCACACTGACGGCGTGTCTTATCTCATATAATATTCACTGGTTTCCGAGCGTTGGCCCCCGAAGACGCAGCGTGGTGTGAACAATCGGCAGCCGGCGTCAGACTGCGCTCGCTCCATGAATAAGACATTTGTCTGCTGAGCTAATTAATCCTGAGAGGGGCTGGATGGCATCTGCCTCCATGCCGCGTGACAGACACCGAGAGAAGGGAGATTTTTTTTTTTTTTTTTTAGGACAGAACCATGTAGGGACGGCTCGTTTTCTTCCTGTTGCTGTTAGCAAATGTGAGAGCGGGAGCCTGACAGCTGCCTGAGGACCGCTGGCATGAACCACAACAACCTTTCTTGTGTGTGTGTGTGTTTAAAAAAGAGGTTTTTTGTTTTACTGTATGTGTCTCCTTGTGTGTTCATATACATGCTGACTGAAGTGTCTTTTTGCTCTCTCTCTTTTACACACAAACACGCAGCTACCAGCTCAGCCCACCTGGAGGACCTGGCATACCTGGATGAGCAGCGACACACTCCATTACGCACCTCGCTGCGCATGCCCAGACAGAGCACCACCTGCGGGCCGGGCCGCTCCGGGCAGGACCTGAGAGGTGAGCGACGAGGCGGAGCTAAAGAGAGCACACACACAGAAACACACACACACACACACACACACCCCGTCATATCCACTGGAAGCTGCTGCTCATTCAGTCTGTGAGGCGCAAAGCAGTGTCTCATTGTTGATCTCGTCCTGTGCGTGTGTATGTAGTTCTTTCTGACAAAACGTCTCATAGTGATGTCATTCAATTTGAAGCCATGACCTCATATGACATCGACCACATGGCAGCAGGTTCAGATATTCAGAATGATAAGTCAGTTCTTATCACTGATGCTTTTGTTGGTCATTTGGAGGCATCAGCATTAATTTCAGTCTGTTTCATAACACACCAAAAAAAAAAAAAAAGAAGCAAAAACTTCCTCACAGGAGCTTTCCGTTTTTTTTTAATTTTCTCCCGGTGTGTTTGAGCACCAACAGGAAATGAAAGAATAGAAAGAAACAGAGGGTACCATGCAAGACGTGCGCAGCTGCATTAAAAGGCGGATATTGCCAAATCAAAATGTAAAAGTAGATACATAAAGAAGTCTTCAAAAAGATTTTCTTGAGAATGTTTTCATGTGTTTCTGCGGCTCAGGGGGATGAGCTGCAACACAAAGTGACTTTGCGACTCCAGGTGCTCGACTTGTAAACAAAACGGAGAGGGTGAAACACTTGTGCGAGAATGACAGTCAAGGCTTTTTTTAAACAACATTTACTTTCACTTGAGACTTTCAGACGGCTCTTTTTGTCTCAGGTCAGGCTGCGATTATTCACTCGCTTGCCATCAGACACGGTGCAGCTCCGCACAATAGGGCCACTGTTCTGTATTTCATCCACAAACAACTCAGAAGCGGCTGAACGTCGAGGCTGCATGACGAGCGAGTTATTTTTATAAGAATTCAAAAGAGAGGAGAGTGACGGATGATTTGATGTGTGCGATGCGCTTCAGATGCAGACGTCTGTTTGTGCGGCTGTGCTCGCGGATCAGGTTGTCAGATGTTGTGTGTGTGTGTGTGTGCGTGTGTGTGTGTGTAGCAGAGGCCCTGTGCACGAGAGCATTTTGTCAGGTTGTGTCACCGCCACGCTGAAATTTGTCTCAGTGCTTAACACTCACAGACAGATCGCGCTCCGCTGCACACCGCTCACCGCTCGAGTCCGCCACACATCAGGCGCCTTCGCGATCGAGCAAATCTCCGCAGCCTCCTCACCAAAGCGGCCAAATGGCCTCATGTCACGGCATTATGTGTCCCCCTTCGTCCCCTTTCGCCCCCTTCTTCCTCTTTGTCACTTAGCCGTTAATGAGCACCGTAAAGCAGCAGCCCCCCCCCCGGGCCGCCATCCAAGCGAACACAAATATGCGTCCCCGTGTGTTTTTAAACACCTGTTGAGACCCTCACTTAGCGGTGAGAGAGCACTCGGCTGAGCTGTGATGTGATTCCCCCTGTCGACAAAATCAGAGAAACGCAGAGAGTGTTAGGCGGGTAAAGGAGGAGGAGACGGACACAGAGGGAAGAGCTCGTTCACTGTTACTGCCAGAGCCACTTGTTTCAACCCCTCCCCCCCCCAGGGCAGCCAAGTGTGTTTACATGCCGACTGACCGCGTCCTAGCATGCGTTGTGCCTCCTTGGATCAGTGTCAGAGCCCTCCTGAGTGCTCTGCTCCCGTGGTCTCACCAGGAGAGACAGAGGAGGAGACTCAGGAGGACAGCAGTTTTCTCCCCTGAAGGTGATTTAAGGGCAAATTCCAAAATGCTTTTTTCCCCCCCTCTGAAATGTGAGTTAATGTACTTATAGAGACTCTGAGTCTCTGTCTGAAGGATCAGTTTGTTATTTTATCCATTCTGTGTTTGCATCACATGTTGTCAAATACATTCATGAGCAAATAGTAAGATTCCCCCCCCCTCCATAGACTACACGGATGTAGACTCAATGATGTCACCCATTTGTGTCTGAAGAGACATTTTGAAGCCAAATGGGGACAATCACCATATAACTAATATTATCTCAGCCGAACTTTTGTCGCCAGTCAAATCAGCCACACCCCTTAATTATGCGAATATTGAATAACTCTCAGTCTTCATATTACCAAAACCCCTGTTACTGTTTTTAAAGATTTTTATTTTTGGGCTTTTTGTGCCTTTAATGGAGAGATAGGACAGTGGATAGAGTCGGAAATCAGAGGAGAGAGAGAGAGAGTGGGGAACGACACGCGGGAAAGAAGCCACAGGTGGGAAGCGAACCCGGGCCGCCCGCCTGAGACGACAGCCTCCATACATGGGCCGCGCGCACAACCACTGCGCCACCAGCGCCCCCTCTTGGTACTGTTTTAACCAAATAGAAAAAGAGATATTGATACCAAATGAGTGTTTTTTTTTCCAGCCTGTAAATGTTTATTTCTGCTGTACAATTTGGCATTTTGGGGATCTAATGGGGATCATTTGGCTTTTGCAGCCAGCCTCTAGTGGCCACTTGTGGAACTGCAGTTTTTAACACTTCCATATTGGCTTCATTTGTCGACACCGCTGGGTGCCACTTGGTCCCCCACGCGATTATTCTCGATTTTATGGCCCCTTAGCCTGCTCATTCCACAACATTTAAAACTTACAAATATAGATCTTTCAGGAAATTAGAAAACTTTAAAGCACCCTCATTCTCTCAAGAGCCTGAACCTTTTTTTACTTCAGACACCTCATCAATTTCTCCTCAGCACCACTCTCTCATTTTCAGCCCGAGGCACACGAGGTATCTTAAAGTTACAATGCCATTCAGTATATTATTTGATGAACAATAACAGAAATGCAACTCAAGCTTTTTCTCTCATATTTCATAAACATCATAAAATATACTGTAATAGTGGCTGAAATGTTTATTATAATTCATGAACCGACACATCAGGACCTACGAGTACGCTCTAACTGTTACATGTCGTCAGTGTCTTTGTTTTTCAATGCTAACTAAGTTTAGCACAGTGGCTGCCGGAGACTCCAACAGTATCGGCGTTTACCTTCCCTCCAGAGCGTCCTGTTTTTAAAAGTAAACACACATACGCCCAGTCAAACAGAGCTTTGCTTAGCCATCCTGTGGGAACTGTGAATCATGTGAGCACTTCTGCATTTTGAAGACGATCATCCAGCTGACAGGTGTGGCAAACGTAGATGGTGATTTGCAAAGCATGAGTGATGCACGGTGAGAGGCTTATCTCAGATCTTCTCCTGGATCGCACAGCATGATGCCCGAGATGTCTGGCCTCAGTTACTGTTATAGTTTGAGTTACAGCATGAGGAGTAGCCACCAAAGACGTAGCCTGTGATTTGAATATTTACTTACTACCTCTGCATTTGGCTTTTCCACTTTTAGAGAACTGTGACATAATCGTGGTTTGTATCGGCATCCTGACAAGCCACAGGTGCAGATTTTAAACATTTTGTCCCAGATTAAGCCTCTCTGGTTTTTTGTACACGAGACGATTTGACTTACAGATGAGCTTGAGGAGAAGAAGATTGCTGGTTTCTGTGTTGGTCAGGTGGTAACCAGCAGACAGATGCAGCTCTCTCTCTCTCTCTCTCTCTCTCTCTCGTTCTTTCTCTTCGGTTTGGTTTTGTCGAAGCTTCTTTTGATGCCGGTCATCGGGGGCTCGAGCTGTGCTTCTGTTTTGAGGAGAGTGAGTCAGACTGTAATGGACCTTCTTGTGCCTCCTGCCTGCCTACCTCTAAGATTTACCACCCACCTCATCTATTCACTCACTCGCAGAACTGTACACCGCGCACTCGGTTTTCTCCCTCGTTTATTCTTTACCTTATACCCTCCTTTACTCCCCCTCCTCCAAACGCTCCCTCGCTCGTCTTTCTACCTCTGCTCACATACACAAAAAAAACAAGCCTTTTTGTTATCTGACGGATATCAGGCTGATAAAAATATTCTCAACTCCTGAGGGTTTTATTACTAACATATTTACTCCCTTTTTTGTAAACTCTAGATCCTTTGCTTTTAAAATATCCAAATATATCCAACATCTTCCCATCCCAGTCTGTCACAGAAAGTAACCTTGAGTGTTTATTTGAATAATATTTCTTTCTGAGGTTCTATTTTGAGGTGAGTCCTTCAAGTACAGAAACTGATGTGAGACATGCTGGACAGCTGGAGCTCTGAGTGATGTTATCACCACACTCAACAATGAAGTTAGTAGAAATCCGGTTCATCTCATGCAGACACTGAAGGTTACCTATTCCCTCAGATAGACCTCTGTTGTCGTAGTTTGACTTGGGCATGGTAGGTTTTTTGGTTACGTTATGTGACTTGCATTAATTTAAATGCATTAAGCATTACTTTTTATAAAATATAAGTGAAATAAACACAGTACATCACTTTCAAGACTACAGGTTAGTCTCCAACACTCACCATGGCGGGCAAGCCGAGGCACAAAAATTTCAAATTTCAAAATGACATGAAGTAACTTCAGGAACGTATTCTTGGTTGACGCACTTCTTTGTCTCTGGGAGCCATGTTTTTCCCAGGTGGCATGCTCATGAGTTACCATTGAAGTGCAATGCTGAACTAGTGTCGCCACATCCTGCAGAAGAAAGGGGCGGGATGAGTAGGGGGGGAGCTCATAGCATTTAAAGAGACATACACCAAAACAGAGCTTTCTGAGAGAGCTGGTTTCTACAGGGTCACAAACCTCCTCTGGTGCTTGATTCATGTTATATTTTGACCAAAGCACAGCACAGATATTTCATTTAGACCACAGGGGACTGTTTGAAAAGGTGGAGAAGGAGGATCATATGTCATCTTTAAAATCATCCATACCACACTTTAATCTGCTAATGCAAACACTTTCTAGTCTGAAAATAGCCCCGACCAAATGCACTATTTACTCAAGTTAAAGTACGCCTACCTCTTTGAGAAAATTACTGAGATTTACTAAATAATAAAGCTATATATTTATCCCTATTTTCAAAGACTTCAGTGTAAAACTTTGACTGAGAACATGCCAGACAGCAGGAGGAGGAGGTGCTCTGAGCGAGAATATAACCAGAAATATGAGAGCAGACAGTGAACACAACAAAACCTGATGATTCTCTCAGACACTGAAGGTTATCTTTGTTTGTTCTCTAAGATAGACCTTTGTTATTGTCGCTGTACCAGGACATTGTTGTTCGTTTCATCTCAGCCCACATACTGTTTTTTTCTTTTCCTGCTGTTGCCAAACACTTCCTAACAATCGGTCTGAATAAGTTTGAATCAGCCGCTGAAAAATAGTTCCCAACAAATTCACTTTTTTTATTCACATTCCAGTGCCTGCCTGTCGACTTTGTTAGAGCTCGATTGTAAATGATTCAGTTTGAGTCGTAGGACTGCGAGAGGATTTGTCACCAACAGGATAGGAAAGTCAGAAAGCATTGAAAGGTGCATGAATATATTGGAAGCTTTAATTTGCTGGGAACAGGACGATATATTCAGTATTGTTGTAGCCCAATGATGAACAACCGCAGAAAGAAAGAGCTGCAGGTTAACCCGAAAGTGAACCACAGTTCCGTCAATTATTTACAGCAAACACAGACTAAAGGATGCCCCCACTGCTGTCTCAGCCGAGTCAGCGAGATTCCAGGTGGAGATTTGATGACAGTGCATGAACGTGTTTGCCAAAAAAACAACTGACACTGACGGTACCAGATCATTATCACGCCCTTATCTCCTATTTCTCACATTGTCTGACAGCCCATGCCCTCTATCTCATCTCCGTAATCTTGTCATGATCAATAGTAATCCTTATAAAGAGAGAGATTTTAGGATGTGATGTGCAGGGGTCGCACTTGATGCGTTTACATCAACTTATATAACGTATTGACACAATTTTTTTTTTTCTCTGTTGCTTGGCTGCAAGACATAAAGTAAGTCGGTGAAAATATGCCAGCTCCAAAATAGTATGTTTGAAATGGATTTGGAGCCAAAGAGGAAGATTATAACACATTTCTCTTAAGACTTGCATTGTCGATACGCACATCTAGGTTTATTGTACTTAAGCCTGCAGTGCAAATTACATAAGATGAGTTTTATTTTCCAGAAACACAAATTATGTAAGATCCGTTGAGTGTGGCATCTGTAGCTCTGCGTCTAATGTTGGATGGATTTTTTTAACTGTATGTCTGAAAAATGAGACGGCAGGAGAAGCTGTATAAACTCACACATCAGATGTAAAAGAGAAAAATCTCAGATAACCTGAGATAACCCATCGCTTCACTCCCCAGATTCCCTCACAACAACCATCCTCCTCCTCCTCCTCCTCCTCCTCCTCCCATCATGTCCTCCCCTCCTTCCAAATCAGTGCCAAAATCAAGCCGGCTCTCCTCCTCCTCCTTCTCTTTCTCCTCCACCTCCCATCCACCACTTCTTCTCCTCGTCCTTCTCGCTGTTCAGCCACCGTGAGTCATCCTCACCTGGTGAATAATTAAAAAAAACGTCTGAGACTCTCGCTCCGTCTGGCCATGAAGGTTTTGGTGGTAGAGGAGAGGAGAGGAGAGGAGCGGAGCGGGAGTGATACCTTGCTCAATGTCGCCTGAGGGGGGGAGTGTTATGGGCAGGATTATGAGCAACTTGCCATCCATCCATCCACACTCACACGCTCGCTTTCACCGTCCTGGAAACAACTCCCTCAGCGCCCGTTCACAACATGGCTGCCATGTTTTTCTTTCCTGGAATACCTGCCACTGAGGAGCAGTAGTGGCTGCACGACTTCACGCGCATTAAAGTGGTGTAATCGTTTCTGCCGTTTGGAGGATGGCGCCCAATAGTGCGAGGGTGTGTTTAGTAATTCCACTAGGACGAAAGGAGCTTTACAGACATTGGCATCCAGTCACTCCCCCCCCCCCCCCCAACCCTTTAGATAATTGGATTAGCGCCACTGTAAAACAGAGTAGCTTTGGGTACACAGCCCCTAATTTGGTTGCTTATGGTTTTTTGTAAACGACAGCATTGGGTAGCTTTTGCATTCCCCGTCACATATGTTGCATCAGGGCTGTTTCTTTTACGGCGTGACACCCAACTGGAGGAATATTACATCAGATTGTGAATCGTAGAGGAGTCACTCGGCCTCTCTCTCTCTGCCTGTGTTTATATGTGTGTATGTTTGTTGAGCTATCTATAAACAAAAAGTCTGACCAGGGGAGAGAGAAAAAAAAAAAGGATGAGAAGTCTTTTCTAAAACATGGAGCTGCAGCCTGCACAGAGCTTAGAGCAGTAAAATGCAGCGCTGCATTCAGTATACAAAAAAAAAACCCGAGCACAGCTTTTCACCCCACTCCCTTTATACTCCAGGTATATCTGTTTGTGCTTTTTGCTGATTGCAAACTAGGAGGGGGGGAATTCTCAGCATGATCGTGGCGTTTTCTCGTGTGATGAAAGTAATGCTTGCAGCTGCACTTTGGAGTAAAAAGAATACATTAAGAGCGATATCAGCTCATTATGTGATGAAGCCAAACAGCCAATCCAGCACACAGGAGTCACTTACGGAGGATATACAGCTCTAATGCAACACCCTCGCTCTCTTCGTAGCTCTGTGTCTGCCTGCACACAGAAGAGAGATTTCTGCAGACGCACATGAAAAAAGAAAAAAAAAAAAACTAACTGCACGCTCTCTCCATCTTTTATGTCCGGTGCATATATATTTCCTACCGCTCCGACTCAGAGAGTTTTCTTTTTGCTGATATTCTGCAAGAGTGTGAATGAGCCGCTTCCCTGGATATCGTCTGACCAGCAGATATATTTCTAAACCGCACGCTGCAGAAAAAAAATCTGATTACATTCAACTTCAAGTAAAAGAGAAGTGAAGAAATCACCTGGGGAAGAACATTCAGCTGTTTGACTGAGCGCTCTGTAATGACTGGAAACATAGAGGGGGGGGGGTCTGCTTGCACGGAGGTTAATGACTTTATTTGCAGACCCTGTTAACTTTCCCAACTTGTAACACACACACACACACACACACACACACACACACACACACGTTAGTCAGAGGAGTCGAGTTTGGAGTCTCCCATCCCGGGGTCGAATTACTAGAACTGGATTCAATTATGTTTTATTGGGATTGATTGATCTTGGCCGGCACAATGGAACCAATTAGATTCTCCCAAAAGTGCGAACCCCCTCTCCCCTAACCTCCCCTCCAGACATGCGGAGGAATACGCTCGATGTAATTCAAAGGATTTCAATTAGCGATCGACCCCGGGTCTGGTGGTTTCCCCGTATTTCTGACATCATGATGTGCCGATGCTATTGCTGTTTTTGTTTTTGTTTTTGTTTTTGTTTTTGTTTTTGTTTTTGTTTTTGTTTTTGTTTTTGTTTTTGTTTTTGTTTCATTGAGCTGCATCTTTTTGCCCTGTGCTCTGATACACACAGCTGCCAGTTTTCATTCCTGCTCTCACTGCTTGTCTTTCTCCCCTCCCTCACTTCTCTGTCTCCTCTCTCTCTCTCTCTCTCTCTCTCTCTCTCTCTCTCTCTCTCTCTCTCTCTCTCTCTCTTTTGTCTTATGCTTGCTGTTCGTCTCAGCTTCTGCTAATAACACCCATGCCTGGCAATCCCAATCACGTAAGTTTCTCCTCTTCTCATTTGTTGCTCCCTGTGCTCGCTGGCTACTTGCTTAATGTGAGTGAAGTGGCAACACACACACACACACACACACACACACACACACACACACACACTCCCTCCTGCCAGCACTGCGTTTGGATTATTCACATACCACTCACATTCTTAACCAGGCGTAATCACCAGATGCTGATATAACATTTAAAGTAAAGACGCAGCACATAGAAGAGAGCGTGTTTTTTTTCATCTCAAAGCTCCAGTCGGTTTTAAGAAGACCGAACCCAGGAGATGACACCCAGAAGCAGCGGCCTAAATTTTACAGCGCATTTTATCACACAGCTTCAGAAGTTCAGAGCCGATTTTATTTTACCCTCATCAGTCTTTAATGGTCCATATGTTGTGCTGAAAAGATGCCCAACCTCTGGAGGACTTCAGTTTAATGACTCCCCCTAGTGAGAGAACTCATCAGTCCGCCTCGGCTGAGAAAGAAGATGCTGTTTTTTGACTTTTTGCACATTTTTTATTTTGCAAAAACAAATGCAACAAGTCTAGACTTTTAAAGAAGTCCTCTGCTTTGAACTGGAGCACAAATTTCACTCCTCAAACAATAAACACAATATATTTTTCTCCTTCATCTCTAGCTTAAAGTTAAACCCTTTTATTTACCCAACAAGCTGATTTATCCTTTTTTTTTGTTAGTTTTCTCTGTGTTTTACATTGTTCACTGTGACAAATTGATAAATACACTTATTTTGTTGGAGATAAAAACATAAAAGATCCAATTTCTGTTGAATTTAAGGCTGTTCAGTGCAGAAAAACAAAACAAATTCAAAGCAACTTATTCATTGAAGCGATACCCAGAACACAAATATATGAGGGAAATAATGTTTAGCTTGCTATGCAGAGATCTGTGGGTGTGCAATGTGTTTGCATACATATTTTGCAGGACAGTTAAAGTATATATACTGTATGCCCCATGGCTTAGATTTATGAGCTCGTATTGTACATTCAAAAACTTTCCTTAATTCAGTTTCCAAACACATAAAGAAAGAGAGTCTGCTTTCCAAACATTATCAAAGAGTATATTTTTGACCACTTGCAATCTCTTTGTTTCCAGTACGTTTTGCACCCTATCGGCCTCAAGACATCGCCCTCAAACCCCTGCTGTTTGAGGTGCCCAGCATCACCATGGACTCGGTCTTCACAGGCCGCGAGTGGCTCTTCCAGGAGATCGACGCCTACCTCAACAGCCCCAACGCCAGCACCAACCGCGGCGTGGCCGTAGTAGGCAACATTGGCTTCGGAAAGACGGCCATAATCTCGCGCCTGGTGGCGCTGAGCTGCCACGGCACCCGCATGAGACAGATCGCCTCGGACAGCCCGCAGGCCTCTCCCAAACGTAGGCATCCGTTTGTTTTCACCCCTGCTGTTTGAGGTGCCCAGCATCACCATGGACCCCTGCTGTTTGAGGTGCCCAGCATCACCATGGACTCGGTCTTCACAGGCGCGAGTGGCTCTTCCAGGATCGGCCTACTCAACAGCCCCAACGCCAGCACCAACCGCGGCGTGGCCGTAGTAGGCAACATTGGCTTCGGAAAGACGGCCATAATCTCGCGCCTGGTGGCGCTGAGCTGCCACGGCACCCGCATGAGACAGATCGCCTCGGACAGCCCGCAGGCCTCTCCCAAACGTAGGCATCCGTTTGTTTTCTTCAAACAAGGTTTTTAATTCCCAGTGAGGATGAAGATCACTTCCTGAATGTCATCATGTTCTATTTTTAACATCATGTTCAATCCGGATACAGTCTTTGTTTTGAGAATATCAAGCGAGAAAAGATTGCATGAATGTGCCGCCTTTTTTCTTTTTTTTTTTCCGAGCTGTCACTGAGCATGTTGAGCTGTTCTTGTGTCCAGATGGAGAGGGGCTTCCTCTCACCCAGCCTCAGCCCACTCACGGCACCCTGGGAGGAGGCAGCTGCCCCGGGACCCCTGAGATGAGGCGACGCCAGGAAGAAGGCATGAGGAGGCTGGCCTCTCAGGTACAAGACACACCTGTGACCATGTGCACACACACACACACACACACACACACACATATTTCCATTCCAGATCCTGATTTACATTTTAAAAAGAAAGCCAAGTCTTTAAAAATCATTGGCCCTGAACTTCTAGCTGCAAGAACTCCAATTTGTAATTGACTGCTTCCCCTCCAATCGGCTACTTTTTAAGAATTCAAATGCTCCATTTTCAGCCAATTGCTGCAGAAATGAGTGTGCTCATAGGGATTTGAAAATGAAATAGTATATGCACTATAGCTGTATGAAATAGGTCAAGCACATTTGTATGCATTAAAGAAGATGAGCTCCCTCTGAACATATCTGCCTCTCCACACCTCCATTCCTCTCTTTCCTTGCAGCCTTGTGTGAACTAAAGGACTTATATTCTTTTGTCATATTGTGTGTCATTGGGCTTTATTTGCATATTTGCATTTGCATGTGTTGTTTGTCCATTTTCATTTTCTTCATGAAGTCGAAACGCCACGCGAGCATAATGTCTGTGTTTGTGTTTAAGCGTGACATTTTATTTTTTTTTTTCCGGGGCCTCGGTATCTCTGTAATTAAAAAAAAAAACTGCAAGATAATTTTAAATGGCTCCTTTTTAAGTCTTAATTCTCCAACAATTAGTGACAGCATAGGTGGCCTGAGAGCGAGTGATTTGCTCTTTTCCCTTTTAGCTTCTTACCCGAATGAAAGTGCAGACGCCGCTGGAGTTCTGTCAAAGTGAAAATGTTTCAAGCTCATGGAGGGGGGAAGGGGGGGTTCCTCACCTGAGGGGGGGTAGACTTCAAAACAGGTGAAGATAAGTTGGGACTTTGTTTATATGAAAATACTGAAATGTATGTGCAGCCCGTTTTAGTGTTACATGTTGACTTTTTGAACAATATTCTGAAGTATTCACATCCACCTCTTGCCTGCAGTGTAAACCTGTATGAGGTGTGAAAGCGGCTCTATTCCTGCTCCTCTCCCCGTCTTCTGTCGCCCCTTGGTCCCCCCCCCCCTCTGCTGCTAAGCCATCTGCATCCCCGGTCCCAGCCTGATGCATTATGCAGATGTGTTTAAAAAAGAAAAAACAACTTTGCCAGGGAGCCTTATGAAATATTTATACCTGCAGAAAGCCATTTCCCAGCCAAGCTATTAGATCTTGTTAACTCTGTACATTAATAATTGAGCTCACTCCCTTTTTCACCCCTCTTATTTTTGAAGCCCTTTATTCCGTTGTGACCAGAAATTAGAATTCCCTTTTGATTAGTCTTTTGTTTTCCGTAGCCTTTCCCCTCACTGCCCTCTGAATCGCTGTGCCCGCACCTCGGGAGACAAATCTGGACACAGTGTGATGATCGCCCATGTCCCGGGAGCGTCTGCTCACGCCTGCCGTTCCAAAAAAATTCACCTGTTTTCCACTTTTTTAACCTAATCCCACCAGGCCCCGGTTCCCAGAGGGTGCAAAGGGAGGCATTGCACCCTCATTTTACATTTCTGGACTTTTGTTACAATCAGTAATCCAGGCTTTCAAAAGACAGCAGTGACTCCGAATATGACCTGGACCACAGGCAGGACCCGTAACACCTACACTGTTTCTCACTGCTGTTGCTGGTCACTGTAGCCACACCCCCCATTTCCTCTCAGACGCACCCTGAGTCATTATGTTGCCATGCATTAACTTTTTATTCATCTATTCAACCAATCATTTATTTAAGCATGTTCAAGGCTGTGAAATTTCACTGTCAAACACTTGACTCCTTCATGACACAATCATCAGACACATGAGCATGCATGAGCTGACCCCGAATCAGTCTCTCTTGGCAGTCGGGAATAGATGAATTATTAATGGCTGAAACCGTGCAGTGAAACGAGGAGCATTATGTTTCATTATACCGCAATCGTCTGCCATGACGTCGAATCAATCCCAGATGAGTTGAGACGCTGGCATCACCGGCTCTGCACTCGACAGAACCCTGAAAAAAAAAAAGTTTTTCTCAAAGTGTGTCGTCTGCCTCACAGCCTCCCTGACGCTGGTCACGAGTCTGTGTGCAATACCCAAATGTTTGTTTAGGAAGCGTTCACCTCTCATGTTTCTCTCTGTGTGACCCGGCTGAACCCGGCCTTACTCTCTGTCGCCCCCAGGTGGTGGCGTACCACTACTGCCAGGCGGATAACGCCTACACCTGCCTTGTCCCAGAGTTTGTGCACAACGTGGCTGCTCTGCTGTGCCGCTCGCCGCACCTTGTTGCCTACAGGGAGCAGCTGCTGAGGGAGCCGCACCTACAGAGCATCCTGAGTCTGCGCTCTTGCGTGCAGGACCCCCTGGCTGCCTTCAGGAGGGGGGTCCTGGAGCCCCTGGATGTCCTTTACAAAGGTAAAATAACAGCTGTTATCAGCTGATGAAGTTATATCAGATACTTTTCTGAGTATCTGATATATGTGACTTTGTGGCTTGATCTGAATCCAGGAGCAGGTGCAGATTTTAAAGACTAATCTGTTTCCAGGAGAAGAAACCTCTTATTTTTCACTTAAGTCTGTCATTCATGTTTATATTATTTGAATTGTGCACGTTTTTCCTGATTTCTCAGAGAGGAAAATCAACTCCGAGGAGGATCTCATCATCCTCATCGACGGTCTGAACGAGGCGGAGTTCCACAAGCCGGACTACGGAGACACCATCGTGTCCTTCCTCACAAAAACCATCAACAAGTTCCCTCCCTGGCTCAAACTGGTGGTCACAGTCAGAACCACGCTGCAGGTAGAGACGCCACACTCTCTCTGTGGGCTTAACGGCTTTATATGTGATTTTTCACACTTAAATATAATAGAAATCAAGTATATCCTCTGAAAATAACTCTGTGAGTCATGACTGTCTACAATGGGTGTAACACCCGAGTCCCACTGTCTCTGATGTTTTCAGAGTTTTCAGAGTCCTATCTTCACTTTGTTTACAGCGCAACAATCACATATAAAGCCTTTAAATCTCACTACTTGTTCAGTAACTAATCCTCTGCTGTTTCATTTTGAATCTAATTCAAAAGGTTTGATGTATTTTAAAAGCCAATATGGAAAGATCAACTAAGAGCTTCTGTCTCTTTGTGTCGTTTTATTTTGTCTCTATTGTTCAGAAAATAATTCAGAAGAAAAATGTTTTTAAAATCGAACTTTTTTTGTTTTCCTGCTTCATTTGTCTCCTCTTCCTTTCCTTCATGAGATGTAGACTACTTAGTCATAGACTGTTTGAAGTTTATTTTAAACCTTCATATGAATCAGTTTTCTTCAAATGACTAAGCATGTAGGCCGTGGTCAGATATCTCTGGACCAACAGCACTTTGACTGAAAATGTTTCTGACTGCTTCAGGAGATCACCAACGCGCTGCCGTTCCACCGCATCTCTCTGGACGGCCTGGAGGAGAACGACGCCATCGACCAGGACCTGCAGGGCTACATCCTGCACCGCATCCACAGCAGCCCCGAGATCCAGAACAACATCTCGCTCAACGGCAAGATGGACAACACCACCTTCGGCAAGCTCAGCGCCCACCTCAAAGCCCTGAGCCAGGGCTCCTACCTGTACCTCAAGCTCACCTTTGACCTCATCGAGAAGGGCTACCTTGTGCTGAAAAGCTCCAGCTATAAGGTACGTGGTTGTTGTTTGCATGAGGTTTTCTCGGGTTAAGCTCAGACTATATAGAGAAGTCATCTATAAAGAGAAATTCAGCAGATAGACCAAAAGCGGGGATGTTGACACCAATCATTTAAAAATATTGATAGATTTTTAAGATTTACACTTTCCTTTAGCATTGTTTTCTAGCATGCACATACAAACTCCACACAGAAAGACCCTCTCCGACGAGGGATTCAGACTGCATCAGTGTGCAGCCATTATTTAACTTTGCTTTAGTATAAATGCAATGAAGTTAAAGTTGTTTATACATCGATGTTATCATTGCAACATGAGCTGCTGATTGCTAATTTGGCATATTTTTATTGGAGCTAAATTGCTAAATAAGTAAGGTAATACCACAGGATCATTTGTTGCTTCCCCCTGATGAACTCCTTAGCAACAGGGCTGAGATGCGAGGGTGGTCGAGGGAGGGGGCGGTTGTTATGATATTGTCTGAGAGAGAGCGAGTCCAAACTGTCAGACTTTGTAAAGCGATATGTAATCGACGTCTAGTGTGCCGAATTTCTGCAAAGGCAGCGCTGGAACGTCATCTTTTTAATGAACCTGCACTCTGAAGAAAAGTACTTTCGTAAGTTCTTCCCAGCACCTTGTTGATAAATAATGCAGCTGAATTGTTTTTAGCCGGCAATTTCATATTGAAATATTTTATCTCGCAGCAGCAGATTCATTTAATTTCATGTATTCAGCCGCGCTCCCAGACTCCATAAAAATGACAACAGATGAATTTACATTCTCCTTCTCTGAGGGAGGAGCACGTGGAATAGTTTGAAGACGCACAGTGCAAACACAATGCATTATTTATATCCTGTAGACTTGATCCAAATCAGCACCACGCTTCAGATTCTCTGCTCTCCCTCTCCCTCAGGTGGTTCCAGTGAACCTGGCAGAGGTTTACCTGCTGCAGTGCAACATGCGCTTCCCCACACAGTCGTCGTTCGAGCGGGCGCTCCCCCTGCTCAACGTGGCCGTGGCCTCGCTTCACCCGCTGAATGACGAGCAGATCTACCAGGCCACCAACGCCGGCTCGCTGCAGGTAGTAGTCTTTAATACCTGAAGATGTTTTATGGAAAAGGTATTTCATGAGACGACCTTGTTGATATCAAAGTCTTCTTTTAAACAAATGGTTTTTTTTAAAAGTGGGTTTTGTTTAATACACAAAGTGTCCTGCATTCATTCTGTCTTCTTCAATCTAGACATCAGTTTAAACGTCTTAAAGCGATGATGTGATGTTTAATGATGTGAGTTGTTTGCGTGCAAAGATCGTCTCATCCCGAGCCAGCTCTGAATAAGAAATAACACTGAGGCGTGCGTCTCGCTGCAGGGCACGCTGGACTGGGAGGATTTCCAGCAACGCGTAGACAACCTGTCAGTCTTCCTGGTGAAGAGGAGGGACGGCACCCGGATGTTTGTTCACCCGTCCTTCAGAGAGTGGCTGATCTGGAGGGAAGAAGGGGAAAAGACGAAGTTCCTCTGCGACCCGAGGTGAGGACTGAGGGGAGGAAAAAGAGGAGGCTCTGGGAGGCTGAACGTGATGTTAAGCAAGTTTAGTCTCTTCTCAAACTCTGCTGGTGCGTTCCTTTAGGGGCCTTTATGGCAGCAGTCCCTACACGCACCAGGATGCATGTACGTTGCATCTGCAGCATCTGCCTTTCCTTGCTGCATCACCTCAGCTGTATCATAAGATGAAGCAGGCTTCTTTCAGACCAAAAGTACCAAAGCTTTAAAAAAAAAAAAAAATACAGATCTTCAGTCATATATTTAAGTTTTCAAGTGGATTTTTGCAGTTAAGAAAATGTGCAGAAGTTTGCTTGCAAGTTTTGGTAATGTGAAACTAGAATTTACTCAATATCGGGTGTCTAGGACTTGTATTTGGTTGCTATGGTAACAAAACAGGTATCAACATTGTTTGATTTTTACTAGCTCATATTGAAGTTTGAAATCCTCCTATCGTGATGACCTTACCTCTCACAGCACCGTCTGTAATTGAAACTAATTAGTTGTGTTGAGAGCTCGGGCCTGTGTTGTTTATCAGGCGTCTGTAAAACGAGATCTTGCTGTTAGTCACAGGTACACTACGTTCATCTAGCAGAGGAAGCGGATGCGTTTTTTTTAAATTTCCTGTCTTATAATTGGAACAAAAAGTTGCGCCCAACTGTTGAGGTGATAACAGGATGTGATGACCGGATGAGTCACATGTCTCATGTCACTGAAACGTTGTGTGTTTGTGTGTGTGTGTGTTTGCAGGAGCGGCCACACACTACTGGCCTTCTGGTTCTCTCGGCTGGAGAGCAAGCTGAACCGGCAGCAGACTATTGAGCTGGGCCATCACATCCTCAAAGCACATATCTTCAAGGTATACCGATATTTGTCTCCACACACACACACACACACACACACACACACACACACACACACACACACACACACACACACACACACACACACACACACACACACACACACACACACACACACACTCACACACTCACAGAAGCCCACACACAGCTGTGGTCTGACTCCACAGTAATGAATATTTACTCTCTCTCTCTCTCTCTCTCTCTCTCTTTCTCTCTGTTCAAGGGCCTCAGCAAAAAAGTCGGGGTTTCCTCATCTATCTTGCAAGGCCTGTGGGTATCCTACAGCACAGAGGGCCTTTCTGCAGCACTTTCTTCTCTCAGAAACCTTTACACGCCCAACATTAAGGTGAGGGAGGATTCAAATTTAAAGAATATTTCAACATGATCTGACTTTGAAATGAACTCTTCTTCTTTTCTCCCTCTCTCTGTGGAGTAGCGTATTTTAATATTTGTTTATTTCCTCGTTTTTTGGTGTCCAGGTGAGCCGTCTGCTCATGATAGGCGGGGCTAATGTGAACTACCGTACCGAGGTGCTGAACAACGCCCCCGTCCTGTGTGTCCACGCCCACCTGGGCTACATGGACATGGTGGCTCTGCTGCTCGAGTTCGGCGCCTCGGTCGACTCTCCGTCTGAAAGCGGTCTGACGCCGCTGGGCTACGCCGCCGCCGGGGGTCACATGGCCATAGTGACGGCGCTGTGTCGCAGGAGAGCAAAGGTGTGTGTGTGTGTGTGCGCGCGGGAAAATTGGCGAGGAGAGGCAGATTGTGTGAAGGGATTGAACTCTTTTTCTTGCTGTTTGTTGACCTGATGAAATATATTTTTGCTGTCAACAGGTGGATCACCTGGATAAGAACAGCCAGTGTGCTCTGGTTCACGCAGCCCTGCGGGGTCACATGGAGGTGGTGAAGTTCCTCATCCAGTGTGACTGGAGCCTCGGTCCACAGCAGCAGCAGCAGTCGTCACAAACACAACAACAGGCGTCTTTCACCAAGAGCCACGCGGTGCAGCAGGCTCTGATCGCTGCAGCCAGTATGGGATACACAGAGGTACAGCAGGGACGGGTTAAAGACGGGTGATGCTTTTAAAGTTCAACTCTGCTTGTTGCAGTTTTTACTGTCATATTCAAATGTGAGATTCACTTTTTCTTGCAGCATTATGTTGCCGTGTGAACCACATTCACTTCAAGGCTGTTCTAACCTTGTAGTATTATTTAGTCATTCATGAAAAACCAAGGAAATACCTTGCAGGCTTACCGTTAACTTTGTGCATATTTCTTGAATATTTTTGACCTCAGAATTTATTTTAATTCATTATTTATTTATTTATTTTAAATTGTATTGCACTGGCTGTTTCTGCAAAAGAAAAAAGCCTTTTTAAGATTTTTATTTAAAAATAAGATGACGCTGTATTGATCCCTCAAACACTGAAATGATTTGTGCTACATCAGCAAAATAAATCACAAAAAGAAGAAGCAACAGGTGGTGCACAGATGAAACCGCATATAAAGGAAAGTTAGGTCAAAGCAACAAGTGGTTTTTATCTCGGTCAATATTTGTGTTTGTGCTGTTTATCTGAGTCTATTTGGAGGCAAACTCGGACATTAATCTGTGTCATCTTCAATCTTGTCGTCCATCAGATTGTGTCCTACCTGCTGGACCTGCCGGAGAAAGATGAAGAGGAGGTGGAGCGCGCTCAGATCAATAACTTCGACACCCTGTGGGGGGAGACAGGTGGGGGGGTTACCGACTTGAGCCAGACATAACGTCAATAAAACCTTTCCCTCCGCACTGACAGACGCCTGTGAATGCTTAACCGTTCACATTGTTTTTAAAAACCCCGGGACAAACATGAGCTGTTCTATAGTTTAGAGAATGTGGTTTTTTAAAATCTGTGCAGGGTTTTTTTTTTTTTGTGTGTGGCTGCGAGGCAGAGCGCTGCAGTGCGGCCTCTGAGGGATCACTCTTGTGTGTCTGCTCGCTGCTGCGTCAGATGCTGCCGGCGATGCAGTGGTGTCATTAGAGCACAGACAGGGCTGGGCTCACACAGAGGAGGAGGAGGAGGAGGAGGAGGAGGAGGAGGACGGGGGTGAATGGGATCCAGGGTGCTCAGAAATGACGCGTTTTATGTGACGTATCAATGTAACCTAAAGCGATGAAACCTCATCGTGAGGGGTTGTTATTCCCCACCTCTCTGTCGGCTGAAGAGGGGGACTTCTACTCACTCAGCCGTGGTCTCATGTTTATCAGGGATCACAGTCGTTCTGGAGGATGATTTGTAATCACAGAGTTACTGGATAGGTCAACTGAAAGTACACGATACAGCCAGAGGGAGAGTATGTACAGAATATCAGCGTGAGGCGTGAGGAGATGTACTAACTGGACTGTGTAGATCAAAGTGTTCCTCCAGCAAAGAATACAAGAGATGAAGCTAAAAACAGCTGCTACTCTTTTCTTCTTGCATGTTTATAAATGTTATTTGGAGTCACACAGAATCACAGATGATTGTAGAGTCATGGTTGGTTAAATGGATTGTGTTGGGGTTGTATTAGAGATGCACCGATTGGGGAAAGTCAGGGCTGATGACGATGCCCGTGTTTGAAATTTCGACTTCATTTTTTGAGTGAAACCTCTCGGCCTCATGGGTGGAAATAGGATCAAACTGATAATAATGAATGCAGAAACAAGCTGTCAGGGTTGTAATGTTTCGGCTTCCCTTTTGCAAATAATCGATGGAGACGGTAACACAACAAATTATATTTATGTGTGCCGTCCCTGTTCTCTGTACATCTTTAAATCATCTGTGCTCAGAGGACGAACGTGAGGTGAATAATTTGTTGTGTTTAGGCCTGGGTAACACACTATCAAGAGAAACGGGCATGCCTTTTGTCTTTCTGAAAAGAAATATGGAAGTTCAACGGCTAAAACAGCAACAAAGGATGCTGTAGTTGATCAATCTAATCAGTATCAGCCTGAAAAATCCAGAATCAGTCGGACCAAAGTTGAAGTCAGGGTCATCGCTTCAGGGCTTCTACTATTCTACTTTGTTCATTCTGCTTAAATTATTCCAATTATAATCATTACATTTGAGCAGATGTCTTTTGAAAGGACTCTCCTCTCCTCTCCTCTCCTCTCCTCTCTCTCCTCTCCCCTCCCCTCCCCTCCCCTCCCCTCCTCTCCTCTCCTCTCCTCTCCTCTCCTCTCCTCTCCCCTCCTCTCCTCTCCTCTCCTCTCCTCTCCCCTCCCCTCCCCTCCCCTCCTCTTCTCTCCTCTCTCCTCTCCTCTCCTCAACTCTTCTTTCCTCTCCTCTCTCCTCTCTCATTTCTCCTCTCCTCTCCTCTCCTCTCCACTCCTCTCCTCTCTCCTCTTTTTTCTCTTCTCTTCAAACAAGACTTTGATTCCCAGAATTGCTTTTTTTTCCCTATAGGGCACAGATCACTTTGTTTTTAATATTTTTATATGACACTGTGAAACGGGAGCTCATAGACATGAACCTTATGAGAATTATTTCTTAACTTTGCGTAGCTCCATGTTTCAGCTAGTTATTAAACTGTGTAGACCACAACTTCAGTGCTTGAATTCACTGTCTTGCCCCTGTGGCATCTTTTGCTCTGTAGGAGGAAGCTGTGTTTAGAAAAATAAAAACCTAAAACCCACTGTACACAACTAAAGAGCCAGTAAGCCACTAGCAGGGAGCATATAGCAGCTGTTGACTCAGATATTCCCCCTCGGAAGCCAAAACAGAGCTTAAAATTGAATATTGGACTTTCAGCATTCAACACATAGACACAAAACAACTCCTAATGAACCATAATGTTGCTGTGTTACTGCTGGAAGAGAAAATTAGGAACTGTTTCTAACAAACCTTGAAAGTGATGTTTCAGTTTAAATGTGCTTCCACCGCCCCCTAGTGGCCAGAAAATCTATTCCTGCATGTTCAATAATGACCTCAGAAGAAACTTACACCTTTTCCAACAAGGAACACGTCGCTGTAGGAAAAATGGAACAAAAAATCTGATTTCTTTCCACAACGTTGACCCTTCTCTCCTTATCTCATCTCCAATTTTTCTTTGTGTGTTCAGCTCTGACTGCGGCCTCCGGTCGGGGGAAGCTGGAGGTTTGTCGTCTGTTACTGGAGCAGGGGGCTGCTGTGGCTCAGCCCAACAGGAGAGGTATCGTCCCGCTGTTCAGCGCCGTCCGACAGGGACACTGGCAGGTAAGAGGTCAACTCATCCGTCTATTTAATCTAAGAAATTTGATTTGAGTCCTTGAGACTTTGCTTAGCTCCAAAAAGCTGTGAAGATGTAGCAATGACACCGTAGAAACAAAAAATGGAACTGCTCTACCTCACAAAGAAAAAGGAGTATGACACTTATTTATATAATGACATTAGTTCTATGTTTGTGTATTTCAGATAGTGGACCTCCTCCTCACACATGGCGCTGACGTCAACCTGCCTGACAAACAGGGTCGTACTCCTCTAATGATGGCAGCCTCAGAGGGACATCTGGGCACTGTTGAGTTTTTACTGGCTCAAGGTAAGGCACTAAAAATAAGATAAAAAAGGAAATTTGTGTTTAGAACAAATTTTGGTCAGGTAGGTCTTCATGCATTCCACTTAAAAGACCACTACGACTAAAGCCAAAGTACATTTAAGGGCATTTACACATCACAAGAAGATAAATAAAAAGATTTTTATGTACTGTTTAAAAATAAAATCTACACAAAAAATGAAGGAAATACATATTTTAATCTCTGTTATTCCAAGCCTGCCGGCCATGAAGAAAATGCGTTGAATAAATCAAAGTGACATTGGATGGTCAGTTTGAAGGATAGACTGAGATTTATGCAGGCATCCTTCTGAATTGCTCTGTTAGACACGTCTTCTTAACTCCAATCACTCTGCCGCTGCTCTCTGGGTTTTTTGACAGCAATTCCTGTGTGTTTTTCCATCTTTGGGAGTGGGTGCAGACAGAAAGTTCGACCTGACAGACGTGCAGGAGAGTCAGATTAGATGTGTCCATGAAGCCAAAGAGAATAAACTTCCTTTGTTTATTTATAGAAAATGATTGTATAAATGTCTAAGGTAAGAAAGCACGAACAGTTGTTGTTGTGCTTGAGAAATTTTACTTTTTCATCCAAAAGTTATTCACACAAAAACAAACAAGAACCTCACTGATAAAAATTAGCGTAATTATAACTTGTTTGCATAATTACAGCCAAATTAAATCAGCAACACATTTAAAGCCATCAAAACAGATTAAGCAGTTAAATTAAAAAAAAAAAAAAAAAGGGGATGCAGATGGAGCATACTTTGCGTCATGAAAGTTATCTCTTCATTGCACTTTATTTTTTCTCAGGAGCCTCGCTGTCTCTGATGGATAAGGAGGGTCTGACCGCTCTGAGCTGGGCCTGTCTGAAAGGTCACTTACCTGTTGTCCGCTGCCTGGTGGAGAGCGGTGCGGCCACCGACCACGCGGACAAGAACGGACGCACGCCGCTCGACCTGGCTGCCTTCTACGGTGACTCTGAAGTGGTAAGTTTCCACTATATATATATGTATGTATAATTAAAACAAAGACAACACAAAAAGGACAAGGGGCCGAGTATCATACCCTGAGGTCTCCCTTCACCCAGCAATGTGCCCAAACAGGAGCTTTTGTGTATTTTAACCTTATTCGGATGTATGACCTTCGCTGTAGAGATGGATTCGCTTCTCATATTCGTCTGCTGAAGGGGTAAAAGTTTACCTGTGCTCAACTGTCACCTGATTCTTAGACGGATAGCTACAAACACGATTTTGTGAAACTGTAACTAGCTGGGAAGCCAATTTTGGTCCAGTACTGTACTGACAAGAGTGTGATGTGGAAACATGAACCCAGCAGAGCAAAAACTTTAAATGGAGGTTGCACTTCAGGCACTTAAGAGGGAATTGAGCAAGGGCACCTTGTTCTCTTGTTATCCCGGTCGGATTTTGTTACTCGCTGATCTCGAAGAAAAATGTCAACCGCCTGCCTTCTGGATCTCTCTCACTCACTCTTCTTGTGAAAGTACGTCTAAGGTTCACTCTTTTTTCCCCTTTCTTTTTTTATTAGCATTTTCAAAGCTAAACAAACAAAAATAGGGCAGTAACCCATACAAAATTATTAATACAACAACAACGCAGGTAAAAAGTAACCAAATGAGATGTACAAGACAATAAGTATAAAAAAAAATCAAACTTGAGGCAGACGTGTCAAAGATTGCTCTTTAAAAAAGCTGTTCTCAACACATCTCTCCGTCTCCTCAGGTCCAGTTCTTGGTCGACCACGGGGCCATGATAGAGCACGTAGATTACAGCGGGATGCGTCCTCTCGACCGGGCGGTGGGCTGCAGAAACACGTCGGTGGTGGTCGCCCTGCTCAAGAAAGGAGCCAAGATAGGTAAGAGCAGTACGAGAGAGTAAAAGAGCTGAGAGGATCTCTTCTCGTGCAGCATCTTTGTCCGATGTCGCGGCGTGATTAAAGATGATTTGCCTGCTGTGGAATGAGATACAAAAATGAGATTTGTATTCTGGTTGAAAAAAAAGGTCATGCATTGGAGTTCAAGCATGAGCTGCATGAATGAAAGGAGAATCCAAAGATGGAACATGCACTTTGGTTTAAGTACACACCCCCTGCTGGTCATTTAAGAGCACTGTAGCATTGTACTGCACTGAGCCATGGATTCAGGTTTGTGTCTCCATGTAGCTTAAACTACTACCTGCTACTGTATGTCGTCCGCCCCCTCCACGGCTGCATCGTGCTGCTTCTCCTCAGCTATTTATGGCTCCGATGTGTGTTTCTTTTTTATTGTACTACTGTTGCTGCTGTGTTGTTTTGCTCTCTCTCTCTCTCTATCTCTCTCTCTCTCTCTGTCATGTTCTGTCAGCGCCTGTTCGTCTTTCTCCCTTCAATCATACGCTCTTTCTCTGTTCCTCTGCGGTTGTTGCTCAGAGACAGGTTGTGATTAGCGCTTGCACTGTTTCTTTTGGGTACCTGTTTTCTGTTTTTTCTTCTTAATTTGCTCAGGCACTTATCTCCGCTTCTCACTGCTGCTTTTTTTGTGTTCCTTTTTCTCACTTCTCCTCCTCCTCTGACCACCGATGCCATCACCTCTCCTCCTCTTTCACCTCTTTCTCGCTGTTTTCTCTGGCAACTCTGCCCCCTCCCTCCCTCCCTCCCCCCCTCCCACTTACACTCCTTTCCCTGCTCATAACCTCCTCCTCCTTTTCCCTCCCCTCCTCACCAAATATCCCCCGCCTCTCTCTCCGGCACCAGGATGTCAGACGCTGCCCAGTCGGCCCCGAGGTAAAGCCAAGGCTGTCGACTTCTCACCCCACCAGGCATTTTGACAGCTCTATCTCCTCTCTCTGTGTTGTCTGTGTCGTCCTAAGTGTCGGCAGGCCAGCTTAGCTACCCAAAAAAAAAAAAAAACCTTCTCGAACTGACAAAACAAATAACACGCAGAAGGTATTAGCACTGACAGTGATGCAGTCGGGATTTCCCTAGAGGTAGATGCTAACGTTCAAGTGGTTAATGACAGCATGCCCAGCCTCCGGCCTGTGACGTCGTATCGAGTTGTTTACTTTCCATCCCACAGATGCATGATGGGAGCCCTCAGTAACACTTTCTTGCGTGGTCGTGATTTAGCAGGAAAAAAAAAAAATGCATGTATTTGTAATTCCTCTGTTCCACCGCCACCACAGACTGAGGCGATAATCCTCTGCGCTGTGCATCGTTCATCTTCCAGACGTTTCCTCACTGTCAGCTAGGCCAGTCAGCGGCATTCCTACACCCACCTCCACCTCCACCACTACCACCAGCTCAGAGGACAGCTAGCGCCTGCAGAGCTCCGTTATCTCCCTCCTGCTTGCCTTCTTTTTTTGTTAATTGTACCTGCTCCCGTGTCTCCTTGTGCAAGATCCCCCTCCTGTTCATCTCTGTGGTGTGTGTACATGTGTCAAGGACTGCTGTTGCGCAGATACAGAAAAAGACCCGACAGATTCAGCCGAGGGATTCTGTTTCATTTTTTTTTTAGCTATGTGCAGGGATGGAGTGTCTTTTTCTTCTTTTAAACTCCTTTTAGCTTATAAAGAGTTTTTTTTTCCTGCTTCTACTCCGTTTTCAATCTACCCCTGTGAGGTGACTCTCTTATGCAGTCAAACACAATAGGTTCAAAGCGAAACTAGATGCAATGCACTGCAATCAAATAGTTGAATTAAGAGCAAAAACTGTCTGCACTGCATTCGAAAATGTTTCATTGCAAGTGAAATAATTGTGCGATTAAAACTGCATTTTTGCATTTTGCCACTGAAACCTTTGTGTCTTTGTTGATGAGCCTCGGTCGCTGACATCTTGGCAACCTTTTTGACCTTAAAAGTTAAAATGTTGGATTTACAATCTTTTTTATTTTTTTTGCAAATTTCAATACGATTGCAGAGTGCAAACCTTTGTTCTTTAACATATCTCGTTTCAATGCATCATAAAGAAACAAAAGCCAACCTTCTCCCCTGAATCAGTCATCAGAACTATAAAGAAAAAAAACTGTACAGCTGCACTTCTTGACTAGACAGAAAAAGAAAGACATGTCAGGGTTTCTTTTTGTTTATTCTTTGCACCCCACATATACTCTGGGGTTTTCCTGGGCCAAAACAAACACTCACTTTCTTGACAATTTGAAATCAAACTGTGCGTTTTATTCTGCACCCAAATGAACAAAGACTCCCAGGAGGATTAAACAAAAAGCTTGTAATTAATGTCAAATCGTATTTGACCCCGGCCTGATGTCCCGCAGCGAGGTCACAGTGTTCTCGAGGTGTCAGAGCAGATTTCTGTCATCTTCTCTCTGCAGTGGATTGCCTGTCTTTTCTCCTCCATCCCCCATTATGACTGTTGTCCTCATCCCTGTTATTAATGTTGTGTGTAGTGAGACTCCCAGTCGCTCCTTCCTTCCTTCCTCCTCGTCTTCTTATTACTGTGTGTCTTTCTCACTGTGTGTTTTTTTTTTTTCTTCTTCTTTCATCTGCTCCTTCCTGTGTTACACAGGTCCAGCCACATGGGCCATGGCCACCTCCAAACCCGACATCATGATCATCTTACTCAGCAAACTCATTGAGGAGGGGGACAGCTTCTACAAGGTCAGAGAACGGGAACAGGAGAAGTCTGACACTCATAGTGTCATAGATTGTAGTAAATCTCAATCTGTAAGAAGAAAGGCCTTTAAATGTCAAATATAAAAGATATACTGATGTGTGAAATACAAGTCACTGTAGATAAATCAGATTCAATCTTCAGGGGGAAAAATATTAAAATACATCATTTTTTTAATGGGGGTATGTTGATTTAGATTGTGTTAACTATCAAAACAGTTCCAGGGACTTTTTGAAGAGGAACTATCCACTAGCAATTTCTCTAAGAACTACCTTGGGGGACATTTTTCTGTTAAGAGACTTTTTTAGGGCCTTTTTTCTGTTTGCTTTCGCACCTCCATGGTACTCGGGGAGAACCTACTCTGAAGCAGGAGCTAAAAAGGTTCCTCTAAACGAGTTCTAGGAACTAAAAAAGGGACAGGGTCTAAAAGTTCCTAGAACTATAAAAAAAAAAAAAAGTTGCAAAGATGCCTAATTAATTTACATGTGGGGTAAAAAAAAAAACAGAAAGAAGAAGACAAACAGATTGCTGTAGAATTCCATATATCAACATGTTTCATTCAAAAACAGAAAACTATGGACGGACTTGTCTTTGTTAGTGACTGACATTTACAAAAGACAACAGAGCTGAACGTGAAAACATTTAATCACAAACACAGAGACGACCCTTAACCTCAAGCTGGCTCGTAGATCCTGTATGTCATCGCCAGGTCGTAAAAAGTGGAGATCAGTAAATGTCCTCAATTGTAGGAAGACTCATCAAGTTCTTTTTTAATCATACTGAGGACATGGAAAAAAAAACTGTCGATTCTGTATAGAGGAGAATGCTGCTGTGAGGTGTGATGGTGTGTTTTCAGAAGGTGTAGCATGATTTTTCTTCTCGCTGTAACAACAGGGCAGAGTCCAAAACGTATTTCCCTACAGTGACATTCAAAGAATATCTTATCTTTTAGGATCTTTTCTTATATTATCTTATATTATCTTAATCAGTGCAAGACATAAGTGATGGGGAAAAAACTATTTTTGGAAGTTTTTGTGTTTTAACATCTATAAAGTGTTTCCTTAAACATCATGGATATAAGTTTGTCATAGCACCGAATTGAAAACAAGACTGACCCCCTGAAAATGAGTTCTGATACTCAGAACAAATAAAACACATGTGAAGTGGGATGAGTGTATCCGTGTGTCCAGCTCTACTCATATTGTGAGTAGCTTTCTGTTTTTGTTGAAGAGGAGTGAGGATAACGTGATGTCTTTGTGCTTGTTCAGCAGAAGGGGAAGGTGAAGGAGGCAGCGCAGCGTTATCAGTATGCCCTCAAAAAGTTTCCACGCGAAGGCTTCAGTGAGGATCTCAAGACGTTCAGGGAGCTCAAGGTGTCACTTTTCCTCAACCTGTCCCGATGCCGGAGGAAAATGAACGTAAGTCGGAGGAAGTCGCAAAATGTCACAGTTTAAAGAATTTACTGAATTGTTTTAGATTCACTTTTTGAAACTGTAAATCACAACATGTTCCTGATCTTCTCCTGGTGTGTTGTGCAGGACTTTGGGATGGCTGAGGAATTTGCTACAAAGGCACTAGAACTGAAACCAAAATCCTACGAGGCATATTATGCCAGGGCTCGCGCCAAGCGTAGCAGCAGGTACGGTGAAAAAACTTTCTGTACAATTAAAGTCTTGTATTGTATTGTATGTATTTTATTTACACACAAAAATCTATTTTAGAAACAAAGAATATGATTGTATGTGAATGTGGGGGGGAGGGGGGTGCCTAAAACCCCACTGAAGGCTTGCAGAGCGACATTCTAAAGTTTTTGTAATTGATAATTATATTTAAAAAATGTTATGTACATTTGTCCCTTAAACCAGTTTTGGACAAACATGATGTTTCCCATCTTATTGACTTGGTTCTCCTGTTTCCAGACAATTTCCTGAAGCCTTAGAGGACCTGAATGAAGCCATGAAGCAGTGCCCCAACAACCGAGAGATCCTGCGGCTGCTGCAGCGGGTGGAGGAGGAGTGTCACCAGCTGAACCAGGAGGAGCAGCAGCAGCAGCAGGACCTGGAGCTGGAGCCTCCCCCTTCCCCTCCTCCTACGCCTCCCCCTGAAGACGAGGAGTCCCTGTCCTTGTCCCTGTCCATGCCTCTCCCCCCTCCCCCGGAGCCCCGACTGGAGGACATGGAGCCCGTCCAGGACCTTTTCGAGGATGAGGACTACCTGGAGCAGGAGCTGGAGGCCATGTCTGTGGGTCTGCCTCCGCCCGAGGGTCACGCCAATCCTTCCAGCCTTCCCATCATCCAGAGCCCCCCGCTGTCCCCCACGCACCCCGACCAGATCTACTTAGCAGGAGGTTCTCCAATGGGACAGCCCTACGAGTATCACCCCACCTCCTCCTCCATGTCCTCCCCGACACGAGGGTCGTACCAGCCGACGTCCCCCTCCCTGTCCCCGACGCACCAGAACTCCCACTACCGCCACAGCCCGCCTCACACCTCCCCCGTGCACCAGCAGTCCTACGGCTACAGCTCGCCTCCGCTGGGCTCCGGGGGTCAGGGGATGGATCACCAGAGCCCGCCGCCTTCACCTTTACGCCGGGCCGCCCAGTACAGAGCCAGTCCGCCACTGGAGAGCGTCTGTCTGTACAGGTCCCAGTCGGGCTCTCCCGTCCGCTACCAGACCGAGCAGCACCCGGGTCGACCCAAGTCCCCGCTCTCCAAGATGAGCAGCCAGCGCTCGTTCCAGCTCAGCTCGCAGCCCTCCCTGTCCTCGCAGCACCACCAAGCCCAGGGCCTCCGTCTGCAGCCATCGATAGCCCAGATCGTCCGCACAAACCAGCCCAGTAACGTGATGGGGAACAGCATGTACGGGGGCCAGATGGGACACTCGATGGGCGGTCGTTACCAAGGGGGTCGGTGGACGTGGAGAGCCGTTTGGTGTACCAGCCTTCCCTGGACGGACGGTCCATGCCCCAGGTCCAGGCGAGCCTCAGCTCTGGGGCCCTCTGTCAGCACGGCGGCCGAGGAGGGGTTATGGAGTCGAGCCTGTTGAAGGACGAGCTACCCCAGCGCCCCTCCTCTGCCTACCGCGCCAGCAGCGGGGGCCCGGGGGGCATCCGTTACAGCCAGACCCCTCAGATCAGCCGAAGCCAGTCGGCCGCCTACTACCCGGTGTCTGAACACGTGCTAGAACGCGCCAACGCCATGCCTCCCTGCCAGCTGGGCTCTCCCGAGATGCCCCATATGGTACGGCGTCCCGTCAGTGCCAACACCACGGAGATGAAGCAGCACGTGCCCACCCCCGGCCCCCTCATCCACTCTCAGAGCGTCGGCCTGCGATTCTCCCCCTCCAGCAACAACATCTCCACCGGATCCACCACAAATTTGGCGCCGGGCTTCAGGCCGCCCTCGTCCATCCAGCAGATGGAGATCCCCCTGCAGGCCACGTATGAGCACTCCTGTGACGACATGTCCCCCATCTCGCCCTCCCAGGGCGGCGGGGGGCTGTATCAGGGCGAGACTACCCGCTCTAGAAACACGCCCTTTATGGGCATCATAGACAAGACAGCACGGGCTCAGCAGTACCTGCACCAGCCCTCCCGGTCCAGACCCATGACGTCCATGGACTCCGCCATCAGTCCCACCTCCCCCGGCCAGCTGGTCCACCAAGGCTCCACCTACAGCCCCCCCGCCTCGCTGGGCAACATCGCCTACTACAACAAGACAAACAACGCCCAAAACGGACACCTGTTGGAAGAGGACTACTACATCCAGACTCAGCCCCCGTCGCTGGGCAAGCTGGCCAACGGTCGCGGCGGTGGCGGTGGCGGCGGCGGCGGAGGGGACATCCTGGAGCGGGTCAGCCAGGTGCCCACCTACCCGGACGTGAAAGTGGCGAGGACTCTGCCCGTGGCGCAGGCCTACCAGGACAACATGTACCGCCAGCTCTCGCGGGACTCCCGGACCCAAGGCCCCACCTCCCCCATCAAACCAAAGAGACCATTTGTGGAGTCGAATGTGTGATTGCCGGTCTGTGATTGGTCTGCTGGAGATGGATGTTGTTACGAGTGGGGAAAAAAAAGGAAAAAAATATTTAGCTCAACCGGTGTGAATGTGACGCGGACGAACTCATCTCAAAGAACTCACGAGAGACGGATCCAGCGAGCGAGCGAGAGAGAGAGAGAGAGAGAGAGAAACCACACAGCCGGCTCACACGCTTTAGGTGTTCTATGAAAACATAAATAAAGATTATTTCATTATCATATTCTGCACACACGGCGGAGAACAGGAGGGTCCGAAGTTCTAAGAATCAAAGACCAGTGCACTTCCGAAAATGTTGCGAGGCACAACGTTCCCCCACACAGGTGGAGCGCGACGAGGTGAGACTGTGACAGTGAAAGTAGGAATCATCAGACTCTACTCGTGGACTCTGTATCCATCCTCTGTTCTTTCAAAGTGTGCTCTTAACCAAGGTTGCTTGTAGGCTCTATTCTATGTAATACAATACTATATGTTCAATACTGTACATGGCTCAGAAAATACAAACGGCTCAACAACTCAGTACTTAGAGAAAATGACAATATTTATAATTAAGTTATATATTGTACATAGAAATGAAACAAGACATAGTTTGCGTTTTGAATTGTATTCTGTTAACCCCGCCTTTGTGTCACGCGGACGTGGAGACGGGATCAGGGTGAGGAATGAGGGACATCGACCAACTTTGAATGATAGAATTACCTCTGTTATGTCAGAATAAATCCCGTTTTGTTCGTCTTTAATGCAAAAAAAAACAAAAAACCTAATGCTTTCAATGCTGCAATAGATCCTAAATGTTTTGGTTACACACTGCATTGAGTTTTCATTTTATTTCCTGATTCATCTCATTTTTTGATTTTTGTTGAAAGTCAAAGTACAGCAAATCACGACCGCTATCATTTCCCACAGTACCACGGTGACGTCTTCAAATCTTCCGTTCTGTCCTCCAACGATTACTTCAAAAACTACAAGCATTCAGTCAGACAGTTGTTTAAAGAGAGGAGAGCAGCTCATCCTCGCACTGGAGAGGTGAAAACAAGATAATCTTCGAATTTAAAGCCTGAAAAATGACAAATATCATTTCCCATGATTCTTTGTCTCTTCATCAATCAATCCAAATTAAATAAGCACAGATAGAAAATGAACCTTTACCCAGGCGATCAAAATGTGACCTTCTGGGTATAATCTAGTTATGAGATGGTATTGAAATACTTGTGTAAGAGAAGAGAATCTATTGCACACAGTAAATGCATCTGTTTTTACATCGCATAGGTTTAAAAACCATTTTAAAAACGAGCCTCTTCATGAGGATTCGACGACGTGTGTGCTTCTTTTTGTCCTAACTTTACTGTTTCACAGATCTCGTTCTGTTTAACCACGTTAAAAGCTGCTAACTCAAATCGTTTCAGGCGAATTAGAGACAAATCACCGTCTGTTATTGATCAACTGTCAGTACTTACTTATCCATCTGGTCATATGAGAAGTCAAAGTATCTGTGGCTTCCTACGAGGACCGAATGTCCTCATTATAATGATGTAATGAGTCCTCACGCTGGTCCAATGAGAACAAATCCTGTGGTAGGTGATTTGATCAGGTGTCATATGAGACTCAAAGTTCGCCTTTGTCCCTCCTCCGTCCTCAGAGAGAGAGAGAGAGAGAGAGAGTCGAGCGATCGATCAGAGACGGGTTAACATGGGTAATGCTCAGCGATGAAAAGCAAGCAAATGCATACACCACCACTGTTACACACATCCCCCCCCCACCCTCCCCTTTTTCCTCTCCTGCATTATTTTGTGTCCTTTCTTTTTTTACCCACAATGCTTTGTTTTCTCTCCACCACTTCTGCACTAAAAATGCCTGTTAAGTTCTCAACTAAGGGTGCACTTTATGTAATTTTTGACTTACTTTTGTTGTGACGATTGTTGAAGTCGGTGGGTGTGTGATCAGTCGGACTATCATGAGACATTTCTTGTTGTATGATTTTACAAAGCAGTGATGAATGACGCTATGAAGAGCAACCGATACATTTTTAAACCGGTGAAGATGTATAGACTTTCTAGCACAAGTTGTACATACTGACTCAGACACTCCTCTCAGTCCAGCTCGGGTTCAATACGTCATATTTAAATATTCTGCATCGTAAAAAAAAAAAAAAAAGATATCCCTATAGATGTACTTTAACTCTAAATGAACCGGTCTAAGTCACTGGTGTTGCGCACATGTTCAAATAAAGTCAAATCTACTGCAAAAAAAAAGAAATGGAAACTGCGGTTTCAAACTCTATATTTGGAGTTTGGTGACAGAGAAAGTGGAATAATACGAATATTCAAGTTATTTGTATATGTGAGGAAAGTTATGGACCATTTGTCTGTAACATTTTATTTAGATTTCTCTCTTCATGAATATCTAAAGAGGGTTTGTTCCTCCTGCTCCCAGAGAGATGCCCCGATATCTTTACAGAAATGAAGGTATAAAAGTGTATCATACTTAATTTAAACAAGAGGGTGTATGGTTTTCAAGCTGTGTGTGTATATTAGTTTGCTGTAAATAGTCTGATGCATGTTCTCTTCTTTCCATGGAGCTCCAGCAGAAACATGTATAGCAGTGTTCTGGCTCTGTGGTGTGTGAAGAAAAAGCGATCGGGACACTGCTGGCCCTGAACGATATCCCCCTCCTCATTTCCCCCCCCCCCCCCCCCCCCACCCCTCTCACAAAACCTCACCAGGCAAAAAAGCGAGCGGTTTTTCCTTTTTTGATTTGATTTTAAACGTGTTTGCTTGCTGAGCAGAGTTCTCTTGTCTGTAAATGTGAGCTTTGAGATCGCTGTGATAAAAAGTTTAATTAAAAACAATAAAAAAGAATGTGTTTTTATCTCATGATAACTGATTGTAATCTGTACAGTCAAACATATGTATTGGAAAAAAAGAACATATTTATAAATGGTTACAACTGAAACACGCCCCGCATGTCCGTCATTTATTTTCAAGATTATGTTTTTTAACATTTCATAGATTTTAATCCACAAAACATGAAACACCTTCAGCACAATATGATGCAAGCCCAATACAGCTCAGAAAAAAATGTTTTAATTGGAGGTTTTGTTCATTGTTTTTTTTTTTATTTAATTGTGAAGAGTTAAAGTCATTTCCATCAAAGTTCATCTGTTGGCCTTCTTAACCCGAGTCTTGACACCAGTCTGTCCACAAGGTGGGGCTGTTTTCTGGGTCAAGATTTGAAATTATACAGAACATAAATAGACGCTTATGTTCAGGTTTTGTTTTGTTTTTAAACATAAAATCGACCAACGTTTCAAACGCCTCAAATCGTGTTTACAGGGGTGACAAAAAAAAAAGTAACACAAAGTCATGAAGTGTGGATGCTGAAATTGTGGCCTCAAGTGACATCACTTGAGTCAGGTTAGTTTGGAATGGTTGCTATTACTGACAGCTTCCTTCTCTTTTTGAGGCTAGCAGCTCAGAGCTACATTCACCTCTACGAGCACATGAGGTCGTCAGACTGTGACCCTGTTCGCTAACACGTTTTAAGACTGTACAGATTGAAAGTATCAAAAAGTATTTAAGCTGTCTGGAGAACTGGTGGCCTAGTGGTAAGTGTGCATGCCCCATGTATGGAGGCCATAGTCCTCCAGGCGGGCAGCTCAGGTTCAAATCCATGTCATTCCCCACTCTCTCTCTCTATCCACCAATAATGACTCTATCCACTGCCCTGTCTCTAAATAAAGGCATAAAAAGCTTAATAATAAAAAAAAATGTAAGTAGCTGAGCTTTCAAAAACATCAGATCTTAAATAATTTCTTAACCCAAAGCTGCCGCAAGCGAAAGAGGGCGAGCACTGTCTAAACTGCACAAATACATTTTACAGTACCCGAACGTATTTGCACCTTTAAACCAAAAGAACCTAATCCATATTTGGGGCTTAGGACTCTACTTAGACATCTACTAAACAAACAGTTGAGGTTTTATTGCGTCGTAGGAAATGTAGGCCCAAGATCTCAGGCAAACAGACGAACACATGAAGCAACACAATGATTCATTACGTTTGAAGCTGACGGTCACGAGTACGACAGCGTTACAGGAGTGCAACGCTGAACGAGTCCACTTGACCTTCTTATGTCAAGTAGACAAAAACAAAGACAGGCCTGTAAACATTTAACTGTGAAAGAAAAACAAGTTCTGATCACTATTAACCTCTCTTACATCCTCACACAGTGACGTAGGTCTTTTTTTTGTAATCACTGAAAATTGTACAAATGATCCAAGACAAGGAAAAATATTTACTACACAATCTCTCTCAGGCAACATTTGAAAGCACATGTATCATAAAACTTTAAAACATCCAGAAAACTCCTCAACGTCATAAAGTCACAAAAATACTGCAGTGTTTAGAACGCCTTAACTTCTATAGTGTATATATTTACTGCACATATGCAGCAGTCAAACATCTGATACAGTCCGCACAGTGAAGGCTCATGAACTCTTATAGAAAAATAAAACACAACATGAAGACACGCTCAGAACACTGTTGCTAAATGTGGAGTGTTAACACAGACGCTGAGGAATGGGCCGTTGTCCTTCTCGTCCTAGTCTTTCTTTCTGTGAGTGAGAAGGTAAACGACGCCCGGCACGAGCACCATGACAACCTGAGGCACAATGACAAATTTGACAAAGAACAAGCCGTAGAAGAGGCCCTGCGGCTGGACGGGGAGCGGGAGGCGATGGACGTGGTACAGACCCATGGAAGAAACGGCAAGCGATAAAGCCCGCGGAGCCCAGGGCAGAGGAAACCCGCCGGGCCTCCAGTACTGAGCCATCCCCAAACCCAGAAGAGCCCCGCAGTCTCGTGTCAGAGAGGAGAAGGGCGCTGTGTCCAGACGGATCCACTTGGCATGGCTGCACCATTTCTTCGCCAAAGCAATAGACCTGAGGAACGGACAGAGAACGCCCCCCCAAAAAAAACATTTAAAATAGACTTTTCAGGCCTTCTTAAGCAGATATACACACTCATGTATAGAAATATTCTCTTACCAGGAGAGGTTGATCCCCAGGTGCTGCAGTCCAGCATGCAGCATCACAGTGCAGAGCAGCAGACCGGTGCTTAAGCTGAAGAAGAACAGCAGGGGGCGCCCTTCTGGGACTCTGCGGCCAAGAATGATTCCAAGAATGAAACCTGGGGGGGGAAAAAAATCGGTTTCAATTTTCTTCTCAAAATATCCTGCAGGTTCCTGATTAACCTAAAAAAAGATGAACTTCCCCATATGAGGCGTAATAAATGTTCATCTTTACCTGCTGAAGGTTTTTTTTTTACATTCTGTTTATTCTGTTTGCAACAAGCTAGACGGCTCTGTCATAATAAAGCTACATTTAAAGGTATTTGTAGATATTATTTTTAAAAAGCTGATACTGTTTATACATTTTTGATTTCTTTTATTTTCAAGCTATGTAGCCTACGTGTAAAGATAAAGTCCACTTTGATTGAGTGTGTGTGTGAAGATGTGTTGCTGCACCTGCATTGTTTATCACTTTTCTTAACTATTACATATTTATTGTTTTAGTCATTCACTTTCATGGAATTTAATGATTATTTAAGTGACATGTTTTACCGACGAATGAATGAATTATGTTATTTTTTTGCTACTGCATCAGAGCTCTGTGAAGTCCCACTGGGACAATAAAGTTCATCTTAATCTTAATTAAATAACCAAAGGACAGATAAAGCATCAAAAAAATGAACGCAGATTAATCACACTCTGAAGTCATACGTCGCTGATCACTCGACTTTCCGCAGCAGTTTTGTAAAAAATGATAAAATCACGCCACGTTTTTTTTGGATCCACCTGAAAAACATGACCACTGTGATCTATTTATATGTACATGTTCTGCCCATGTTCTACCTGCCACATCAAAAACTTAATGTATATTGAGACAGGGTTTACACACAGTGACGATACTGAATGTTTCAGCTTGTGCTCGAAGCTGTTCTCAGACCTGTAATGGAGCCCGCGACGACCTGATGAGGGAAATGAGCGAGGATGAAGATCCTGGAGAGTCCAACTGCCACCAGCATCAGCACATAGAGCAGGTAAGGAACAGCTGAGACCACCACACTGTAGGCACAAAGACAGAGACAGAGAGAGAGAGATTAGGTATACTTGCTTTGGTCTTTTCTATTCTCTGTATCTCTACATTTCCAAATGCAAAAGCAGCATTTTTTTGTTTATCCAAACAAAAAAACCAAAAGAATAAACCAACAAAAAAAAAACCAAAGACATCGTCCGCCCCCAAACAAAATAAAAACACTCATGACCACACAAAAACCTTACATGCTGTTTATTACTTTACATGACAGTACCTGTGAGTACGGGAATAAAGGAACGACCCCAGCGAGGACACCACGACCCACCAGACTGCTGCCGTCACCATGGCGTGACCCGACGGACTTCCTGAGACACAGGCGCCTTCTTTAGAGCTCTGACTCTGCAGTGAGTTAATGTGTGTCTGTCTATGAGTGATGCGTGTTGTTTTTCTGTGAAGAATTCTCACCTGGGCCGGTCTCACAGGTGGAGGAAAACTGCTGAACTTGAGGAGGCTTGTTGACATAAAGACCTGATTCGCCTATCCACCAGAACGGCCTTTCTCCAAACAGCATCCTGGGAAAATTTAGAGTCACAGCACATACGGTAAAATACAACAATGTTCATTTCTGTCACCTGCTGTACCAGAGCGTGTAACATCATTACTAAGGCTCTGTTTGTCCATCACTTGCATTTTATTCTCTACAACTATCCATCAAAAATCCCAATAAAAAAAATCTCATACTGCTATTGTTAGATATCTAAAATTCACAACCAATAATTCCACACTTTTACATTATTTTACCAAATGTAATAGTGCCTCTCTCTCTCTCTCTCTCTCTCTCTCTCTCTCTCTCTCTCTCTCTCTCTCTCTCTCTCTCCTGTTCAACACATGTTGAGTTCTGCTCGAGGTGACTTTGCTAAATGTTGCAGAGTGCTGTGCTTATGGTAGATTCATGAAGGGTCTGTAAATAATATCTAAGAGTACTCTGCTTTTAAAGTGTCTTGAGATGACATATGTTATAGATGGCACTATAAAAAGAAAACATTTTTTATTGATTGATTGAGGACATCATTTTCACTTTCCTAACTTCTTAGCTTTTGCTCATCAATCAGCGATCTTGTGTCCATTAAGTCCCAGTTTCTGAAGGTTTATAGGATTGGATATGTCTCTCTATAGGCCTGTTATTAAAACTTCCAGCAGCTACTGATTGTTTTAAACACTGATACACATTTAAGGAACAGCTGTATTGTGATGTATGCACAGATAATTTGATGGATATTATCTAATAAACATGTTAATTCATTGGGGTTCCAGAAAGCATCTGTACCAATATATATATTTGTGATATGATGATGTGATAAATAAATAGTTCATAATTTTCTTGAACACTATTTTGACTAGTTTTCATTTAAGGTTGCGTTAAATAAAAATGACTTTGTGCTGAAAGTACAAAGGTTCCGCTGTCGAATGTTTCCACACGGACATGACTTCTCGTGCTACCCGAAAGCTGCGACGTCAACAGAATGAAATAAAATGTAAACTTCAAGGTTGAGTTTTTCAAATGAAAAAAATAACTCGAGTCCTTGTATCACCCTGACGTTTATGTATTTAATAACAACAGCTAATGAGAGATAACAGAAAAATAAAATACTTAAAAAATAAAATAATATATTATTTTTTTCTTACCATTTAAACACCAAGTTGAGCCACTCTGTTATAGCTGCTACCCAGATCACTGACACTCCAGCTCGTCTGCTGATGAAATATGTGAAGGGAAAGAGGAGCAGAAACGCTGCTTTTGGGTCTCCTAGATGTGTCACAAGTAACCACAAATCTGTTTGACTTATCGTCCTTTGCTGGAGACTTTCAGCCATCCAGATGCCTTGAGCGTGAATAACCTCCATCGCTGCGTCCTCTCCTAACCACTCACTGTAAAATAATAAAACTCCTAACCCATGTAAAATTAACTGGAGAGGGGAAAAAAATAATTCAAAATGCACTGCTGATTATTTTGTACTTCAAACAGGAAGTGCTGCATCTGAGTGAACAGTGACGTCACGCGTCCAGTAGGTGGGTGGAGAACGTTCGACTACAAGGTTGTTGGCATGGAGACAAAAAACTACAACGTTCTACTTCTTCTTCCGCTGATTAAATTACTTTAATATTATTATTATTATTATTATTATTTTAATATTATAATATAATATTTTACATTTTACATTAATATTAACATTTAACATTAATATTATAATATTATATATTTAATATTATTTTTACAATCATGATTATGAAATGTGAAATGAGATTTAATAGCTGGCAAATAAAATTAATCGAATTAGAATTAGTGACCATAACTTGACGTGATTTCTTTTATACAAACTTTATTAATTAACCAAAAAAATACTTAACTAAAAAAAAAAGGATCTTCTTGTATGTTCAATTTAACCATCGTTATGGCAACTGAATGAAAATTATACTGTTATAATCCTTTACATTGCCTTCAAAACCTCAAACCCCATAAAAATGTCTACCTTTTGTCCTTTTAATCTTATATAATGTTGAAATTCTACCTGAAATATTTTAGTGTACATACATTGCAAAAACAAGTGACACATGATTCTTCTTTAAATCCACAGAAGTCACAAAAATATTCCATATCAATTTGAAATCTTTCATGGGGGTTTTCTGGGTAAATTTGAAGCAAAATTGGAAGGAAACCTCTTTAACTTCATAAACTTTACATCATTTATCACCAACCAACCAGACTATAATTTTAAATAATTTCTTCATAAAGATTAACTGGTAAGAAATAATTCATTTTGAACTGTCTCTTTATTGACATATTTAGGACATATAACAAATATTTATACAAAATCTTGTAGAGGATAATAATACAACAGCAAAATACAAATTACACAGGAACAAGCTAAGTCATTTATTTGTTATTTTTTATTTATTAGCTATTTGTTATTTGTTATTTATTTATTTATTCGTCAAGGTAAGTCAGTTATTCTATACCTGTCACCTGCAAATTAATTGTATATTGTATACTATATCGTATTATTTAATTATATTTCTTATTTGAATATTTGGCTTTAGTATTTGTTTATTTGTATATTTTATGATATTAGTCATCTACAGGCTTGCTCCAACAATATTTCATTGTACTTGTACAGTGACAATAAACATATCTTATCTTATCAAACAATGTTAAGACTAGGGGGGATTGTAAATAAAATACATAAAATATATGTTTTTTTTCCCAAGACAAAGACAATTACAACACAAGACTCACAAACTATAAATCTATGTAAAACTATATACACAGGGGCAGAAAAAAAATAAAAAGTAAAAAAAATGCATTGTTGTACCAACCAACCAGACTGTATTGTTAAATAATTTCTTCATAAAGAGTAGAAATATTTTTTTACTGTCTCTTCTTTGACATATTTAGAACAACAAATATTTATACAAACTCTTGTAGAGGATAATAATACAACAGCAAAATACAAATTACACAGGAACAAGCTAAGTCAAACAAAGTTAAGACTCGGGGGGATTGTAAATAAAATACATTTAAAAAAATGTAGACTCACAAACTATACATCTATGTACAACTATATACATAGTGGCATCAAAAAAAAAACTAAAAAAAAAAAAAAATTCATTTCGTACCAACCAACCAGACTATAATGTTAAACAATTTCTTCATAAAAATTAACTGGTGAGAAATAATTAATTTTTAACTGTCTCTTTGTTGACATAGAACAAGCTAAGTCAAACAAAGTTAAGACGAGGGGGGATTGTCCATAAAATACATAAAACATATTTTTACAATTACAACACAAGACTCACAAACTACACATCTATGTAAAACTATATACACAGGGGGCACAAAAAAAAAAAAAGCATTGTTGTAGCCTGAATGACCACAACGCGCGACGTACATCGACACGCCCAAGGCTTCGTCTTCTCCACGTCATCGCGTCGTTTTACGTAAGGCAGGCGCTCCGGTTTCCTGGCGGAGAAGATGGCGGCTCCTGGACCGGGGGAGTATTTCAGCGTCGGGAGCCATGTCTCTTGCCTCACCTGCTTGGGCCAACGTCTACAAGGAGAAGTGGTCGCGTTTGACTACCAGTCCAAGATGTTAACCCTGAGTATCCTTTGTTTTTGTTTCGAGCTGTGGGGGCCCTTTTTATTTGGCTGGCCTTGCCCCGGCTGCACGGGCCTGTAAGGGTAACCGAGAATATGTCAAATAGTGATCCGCGCAGGCGTAATTGGTGGGGGAGCTTTGCTTACACATCTTTGTCCGTTTTTAAATGTTTTCTCCTGCTCGATTGCCTCCCAGTCACCTCGTATCTGGTAAAAAACCGCGATGGTGTTGCCGGGTGATTCCGCATTATCTGCTAGGAGGCTGCATGTGTTTTGAATCCACTCATTGTATTGCCAGCCCCTCAACATGGATCACTATCTGGCAGCGGATCCTGGTTAAGGCATCATGGCTGTGTGCTCTCAACAGGCACAAACGGCGGCGGGTTGCTACTTTAGCAGGCTATCTGACACTCGGCTCATCTCTCTCACCGGCTCTCCGCAGATTTTCCACGCACATGTTTCGGTGATGCTAACGGGTTATATTTAAAAACCGATTAATGAATGGATACCGAGCCCCCCCCCCCCCTCACCCACCCCCCTCCTCCTCTTCTTTCCCACCGCTACATGCTCGGCTAACATGCTAACTTTCGGTCAACCCCACACCGCCGCTGTTACGCCGAGAATTGCATCCCTGCCGAAAAATGCACCCTCTTCTTCTTCTTCTTCTCCTCTGGACAATTTTTTTTTTTTAAAAGGCAAACACAATTTATACTCTACCGATTATCACGTCCATCCTTAAATAATTAAAAATACAACACTGCCGGATTCTCCATTAACACTTAAAAAAATATTTTACCGGTGTTTGCCGGTTATATTTACGCAGGCTAATTCAAAAGCGTCTTCCACCGAGTCTACAGAACAATAAGGGCACTTTTACTAAGTATTCACTTCAAAATACTGTTTTTTAATCATCACAGATAAATACGAGATACAACCGTTTTAAAACACTTCCGCGAGGTTTTTTTTTTTAAAGGGATGCATTTCTCGGCGTAACACCGCCGCTTGCTAGCTCAATTAACGGTATCAGCATTCCCAAGCTTATTAACTAGGATTTTTTTTTTTTTTAAATACTATGTCACACCCAATTCTGTTCACGTTGTAATTCTTGAGTGATTAAAAGGTGAATTATGCCGCAATCCTGTTTAATTTCAGCCGGGATTGAGTTTCGTTTTTACGTTAGCCGGCTGGGGTAACATGTCGACACCCATTCATGGCTGGACCGTGCGAGTGTGTGCAGAAATGAATATTAATAAGGTGTAGTGCTGGATAACCCCACGCTTGATTTTGACTTGTTCTTGTAAATGCATTCAACGTCAAATCTGCAGAGCTGTGCAGTAAAGCAGAATGAATGAAGTTCACACAATGAGGGTTTCTGACAGATGGGCCTCTCCTCTGGTTTGCACCATCCAGTATAACGAGTAAAAACCGTCAAGTCGAGCCTTCAGCCTGCCACACAATGCTTTCGTTTTGCAGGGTGAACAAGTAGTCTCAGCTCTGAATCATAGGAAGAGTGAATAATATGCAACTTCCATTTGAGCTCACTTATGGCATAGGTCAAACTCTTAAGGTCATATTGCGGCGCTGTCAGTGGTCAAAGCCTGTCCCAGCTTTTGAAATCAAAAGGCAAGAAATCTTCCATCACATGCATAACTTAAGCCATTAACTAATGTGTATATCTATTTTATATCAATATATAGACATATTTATTCATTAAATTGGTGTAAAGTGGGTTAAAAAAAGCTGTTGTGCACCTGATTAACTGTGTTTGTTTTACTATTAGGGCAGGTGGGCTCAATGCCTCGAGGCCCCACGCTGTCAGGGTTTCTGAAAACCACACATTTACAGACATAAGTTGTGTTTTTTTTTTTTTTTAAAGCTCCGAATATTCATCCTGAGAAAACAAGATATGACCTTGTGTGACTGCAAACCAATGTGTTAAAGATTAAGATTCCACGGTGGGATTTGTTGTATAAATTGAGCACGTAACAAAATCAGTCGTGTTACATTTAATTGCATCGCGCGCGTGCTGTATTTGATTTATTGATGAAGTCGTTCAAAATTACAGTTTCCACATGTTCTACTGCTCTATAAGCTGCACATCATTTTACAACATTTCTACCAAGTCTTCATTCATTCATCCATGATTACTATAGATGGCAGCACTGCGTTCATGGCTGCATCCTGTAACTGGCACCACCCTTCACTGTCAGTGTAATTCAGCCAGTGTTCTCTGGATCATAAGCTCCTCTGTTTAGTGCCTCTGATGGCGTCCAGGTTCATGTGGGGTCACAGTTCAACAAGTTGGTGTTGTTTTCTCCCAAAGTTTTTGCACCTTGACTCGAGTCCTTTCCCAGAATGTGCTTCCTCCAGCGGTAAGCCAAACCTCAGCGACGTCATCCTGATCAACTTAGCCTATGTTTCTGATGTGGACATAATTAATGACCGCACTGAGACTCCACCCCCACTAGCATCACTGAATGTTAGCAAGGTAAGTCCGTCCACTTTGTCTTCGTCCTTTCCCATGTTTTCCCACATGTAGGCCTCGATTAACTATTAACTTGTGTTGATTTAGTTTCCTTCTGTTATTACCAGTGACTGATCTACCTGATAGTAAATACAAGATGAAGTCACGTGAGAATACCTGACTTTCTGAGTTGACAGGTCTCGGTACATAAATAAAGAAACCAGCCACACTAGAGTCTGCTACGGTGAGGCTGTGAAGAAGTGCACGTGTTGTACTGTATGTCTATCAAGTGTGGACAAATTAAAATTGTGTGTTTGGGAGTATTTAAAAATCATCCAGGCCTTTCTTTTAGCCTGTGTTGACATCGACTCAGTCTGTAATTAAAGGCTTTCGGGGGTGCAGCCCCTGACTTTGGAC